GTAAGTTAGCTGAGAAGAACTGCATGTTCAAATGTACTTGTAATGAGGAAGTCGTAATAATGATTGTTTTGTTCACATAGAAGTTTCATGTTGTATCTATGATCCAAAGAACTAAAATGTTTTCCACTTTGTCCTATTCTCTACATTAAACTCAAATTTTCTCTTTTCTTTCTTTCAGCTGTTAAAGTATCCGTGGTCATTACTATGTTTTTAGTGCCTAAGCTTGGATGGACTATCGTGGCGTTCTGACTAACCTATTCATTCTGACATCTCTTTTGTGACCACAATTTAGCATCTTGGAACTGGTGGATGCTGCAATTCCAGCTGAAGAATTAGATCCAATAAAAGAAACAATACTTAAAGTTCAAGGAGTTAAGGTACGTCTAAATTTTTTTTCAACGGTAGTTAGATCTTGAGGAACTCATTCTACAACTTCCTATACTTTGAACAAAGCCCTTGTGCAAAGTAGACATTAAGTGCATTCTAAATTTGCATTTGGCACAAACCATATGTAGACTGTAGAGAGTCATATTGTAAGATGAGGATAGAATTCAAGCATTTGATTGGAGGTGTTTAACACTTGATCATTTGTAGCCCTTCAATCATAATAATTAATCCTTGGTTAGGTGATGAACTATTTCTGGTAGATTTGTCCCTTAATGAGTAAACATTCTCAAATTCAATATAAATTATGCAATGCTACATAAAGCACTTGGACAACATGACAATTGGATACTCTTCTAGGGATGTCATCGATTGCGGGGAAGGAGAGCTGGTTCATCTCTTTATCTTGATGTGCATATTGAGGTGAGTTTTTATTCTAATAATTTCAAAGTTCAGTTCAAGTAGTGAGGAATGAGAATTCACAGGAAGCGGCTGGAACTTTCAAATTTTCACACATGATGTGACTGAAACTGCAGGACTGGTTTTGCTTAACAGTTTCTTTTACTTATGTACCGCAGGTTGATCCTTTTGTTAGTGTTAGTGCAGCACATGGAGTTGGTGAAACTGTTCGTCATCAAATTCATGAGTCCCACCCTGAAGTTACAGAAGTTTTCATACACATAGGTATCATCCTTCCTTGTCAATTCCAGATTTATATTTGTTTGTGTGGACATCCTAGTATCTTTGATGATGTTTTATTCAGTCAAATGGATGAAACTGGTGAGTCTTGGTTTGCTCTTCTTTACTGGCATGAAGAGATCAAATATAGATCAAGCTAATCATAATAACCTTGGGTTCGGGTGTATCTTTTTTTTTTATTCCGCATAACTTTGTGAAAAGAATCTCATGGTAGACATGAAGTTACTAGAAAATAGGAAAAATCAAGCAATTGGAGCACGTCTCCTGTTATTTGTCTGGATCCGAGAAATTTGAGAGGGTAAAACTTCACGAGTGCTTATCTCATCACTCCGGCATCTTACTTTTTTTTTATTCCGTATAACTTTTTGAGAGAAATCTCATGGAGAATTGCTAGTAACAAAGAATGATTGAGGGCATGAACACTATGGTAAAGCTTCTGACCCAATCCACAAGATCAGATGAGTTGATAATTATTGCAACATTGAGATTATTGGCATGTTTTATTAGTGGGATCAAGATTTATCTACTAGTCAAGTTAGTTGTCCTTTTTTGCGTGACTTAGAAGTGTATTAGTATCTTGACAATTTCCTCAACCTCTCTATAATACGGCTTTTGATGATGTTATGTAGTTCACCTCTTAAGTGCAATGCTTAGGAAGCTTTAGGTATGAAGCCAGAAGGAAGTTACTCTTCTTAGGTATTCACTGCAACTTCCAATAAAATTTCATCATTCAAAATTTAAAGTTTAATCCAGATCGGGCTCACTCCTTTGACACTTATCAATCCTACATCAGTTTTGGGCTCTGATGAATGTCAAAATGAATATGTAGGTACTAGAATTTCATTTTCGTACTTTTACAAACTGTAAACTCGATGCAAAGTGAATAAACTCTTGTGAACATAGATGTTATTTTCCCTCAACTTCAACTACTTCTCATACATAAACCTCTGAAAGAAATTGCAGCATTCTCATTCAACTTGCTAAGTCTAATTTGTTTGTCAAATGTCCGTAGACCCTTTGACTTCTCTGTTTTCTCCAACAAAAGTGGATGAACAAAAACTCTCAAAGGGATTGGTTGTTCCGAACAGAAACAATTGTGTGGATGACAAGGCAATTGAAGCTGTTGTTCGTAATGCTGTCTCATCAAAGCTTTCGAAGGTATTTGTTAGTTCTTTTCACATTGAATTCGAGATATGCACAGTCAATTTAATTAACTATTATGATTGTTACATTTGTTGAGAACATCTGACCCTATCAGATTAGGACTGAAGAACTTACATCCTTGTCCACGGAAATCTGTTTGTGCATACATTCCAGATGTATGATGTCTTTCCTGAAGCCAACTGGTGTGCCTTGCAATTAGTGTTGCTAAGAACGAATCTGTAGTTTCAGCTTTCACCTTTGATGCATATGGTCCAAATAAAGCGCGTTGTGGCCACACGAAAACATACAATTAGGCCATACTGGTGCTTAGGTGTTTCTGGAACTTAGCATTATGTGCATGGCCTTTGCATATGGCTTAAGCTTCTTCTTTTTTTATAGTTACATGCCATATTCCCCCATAGTGTCACCTCATAGCATTGGCTTCTGAACTTTCCATTGCAACTGCATATAATATGACAGTCTCCAGCTTGTTTCAGCAAATGGTCGTGGAACGCATAACACACCACGTGTTGCAAGGCAAAGTCCTACTCGAGGTTGAGGTCTCCATGCCTCCAGAGATGTTAATACGGTAGATATTCTCCCCCTATTGTGGCTTTGTTCTTTGCTAAAATATGAACTTGTTCCCGGTCATTTGATGTTGTTCCTATTCCTCGTTCCAGGAATGCAATGGAGGTAGTGAAAGAAGCTGAAGAGGAGGTTTTGAAGACTGACCCTAACATAGTTCACGTCAGCTTTCAACTAAGGTTAGGGCGTCGAATACCCCGTTCCAATGATGATTTTGAAGAAAGGAATTGGGAGGATAAGTAGTAATTGAGTTTAGAGGCTTGTAAAGTCATTGGAGATTTCTCCTGTGGAGCACAAACATATGCCATTTAGGTTAGAAAGTATATGTAGAATAAAAATCTGTTCCACCCCTTCTAGTATGTGGGATGGATCAGACTTCTCTACTGATTAGGTCTATGAGAAGTCTTGTTTCCCCCGACGAGGCTAAAGTTTTGAAGAGCCTGGTACTTCAAAGTTCAATCTTTTTGAACTGTTATGAACCGTTCTATCTGATCTTTTCTTTTTTGGCTAGATTTTTTTTTCCCCTAAAACCAGTTATTGCTGATATTTTCTTCTAGGTTTACTTCTTCTCCCTACCTGATCTCGGAGAAGGAGAAATTGAAAGAATATTGGTGTCAGAAATAGGATGATGTAGATTTAAGGGTGCGCATGAATACCATTTTGTGCTCGAACTATTTCGAACGTAAATGATTTTTATCAGTGCCCAAACAATTTCGAGCATTTAAAGGCGTTTGATAAACCTGTCCAAAATTTCTATTCCTAGAGTAGAAAAGAATATAAATGCGTTTGAACTAACAAAATTTACGTTCCCAAATAATATTTTAATAATATTTTGAATTGTTAATTTTTTTTTCTTTCTACCATTTTCTTTGGCCATGGCCGATCGCCTGCGACCCATTGGGCCGACGATCGGCCACACCCGGCAGCCTAGCGAGGGCGTCATGGCCCTCGCCGCGGAGGCGAGGGTCGCCTCGCCGCTCGGGCAAGGCCGAGCCTCGCCGCCGATCGCGACGGCGAGGCCTGGCCTCGCCAAAGACGGCGAGGCTCGGCCTCGCCCAGATCTGGAGCTGAGAGCCTCGCCGCTGACCACTGTGCGAGGTCTCGCCGCCCGATCGCGACGGCGAGGTCCCTCGCCTCTCGCCACCGGCGAGGGCCGTGACGCCTGCCGGCCATGCGGGCCGTGGCCGGTCACTTGGCGCCCGGCCCAAATTTTGAAGAACAACACAAAATAAGAAAAAAAAAAAAAAAGAAGAAAAAAATTGATTCTCAAATTATTAAACAAGAAGCAACTTTTTTACTTTTGTTTCTCTTCCAAAATCGTTTCTCGGCACAAATTTTTGCAAAATGTGCCCGGGAATAAAAAGTTTACAAACGCATTTATGTTCCCAAATTATTTTAACAAAAATGTAGAATTTTCACTTTTAACACGTTCTGAAACGGGTCCTTATTGGCCAACTATTCGAGGGTACTCAACAAATGAGTGTAACAAGAAATAGTATACAATTGATTATATCCCTATTGATGTTCCTTTTTTGAGACAATGCTATCTTGATCTTCCCAAATTGATTGATCCAGCAAAACCTTATTGCACCACAATATTTGGTTCACAGGAATGCCAAGCCCTTCTTGAAATTTTAAAAAAATATCTGGTTGGGCCATAATCAAGGACAAAAAAATCTGAAGCATAAAATAATTTCGTATACAAAGAGAGAAGAAAAATCTCACGGGTCATTGTTGTATACTTTGACAATTTTCCAAGATCGCAAGAATGCTAAAACCCTTCTTGAAATTCCACCAATATTTGATTCATACCTCTAAACAAGGACGAAAAATCTTGAAGCATAAGATTACCATAGAAAATAATTAGAAGAGACAGAAAACAGGATCGGACGAGAAAAGTAGGAAGGGAATTCAAGGAACCATTGATCAGATAATTGTAGTCTGATAATTTTTGAGTCGACATCTGTGTGTTTCCGAGAAGGTTATCATCACATCAATGGCTCTCTGCTTCAGGAGCTTCCAAAGAGCAAACAGAGGAGGCAAGAAAAGAGAAAGCGAATATAAACAAGAAGCATAATAGATCAAGATCGCTCGATGACCCAAAAAATTAAAACGAAAAATCGCAACTTTATCACGAGCCGAATCGAATTCATCGAGACGAGGAAAAGGGTAGAAAGAGGAAGCGAGGGAGAGAGGCTCAGAAGGATCCATTGGTAAGTTTTGTAATCACTGAGATTTCCCTCAGAAAATAGGTAGTTTTCAGCATCATCGCCTCCTCCTCCTCCTCCTTCCACACTATCAACACGACATCAAAACACAGACACAGAGAACAAAGTGAGAATGGGGTTCCGCTGCTGCCAGCGATGAAGGTCGAAGCGGCGTCTTCTTCTTCTTCTTCAGATATATATACACGAAGAGAACCCCCATGGAGGGTGGAAGCCGCAGCGCAGATTTTGAAATTAGGGTTAGGGATTTTGTAGTGCGGAAGAGAGGCGCGGAGGCCGGATAGGAATGGGCCATTGTGGGCCGAATGTGGTGCGTAAACATGGACTCAAATGACACGACTTTGGAAATGGGCCAATAAAGATAGAATTTTTGAATTTGAGGGCTAATGTATTGACAAAAGTAGAACCGGACTAAACAGATTCCCGTGGAAATCGATCCAGTTTCCGGTTCCTAAAATTTGGAACCGGTGAATATCGGTTCGGTTCTCAGTTCCAGACGTGGACCGGACCGATTTTTTTGATATTCTTATTATTCCAAATTTCTAAATCCCTAATTCTCATTCTTTTCTCGCTCAGATTCAATCACACAAGCTCGTCGCTCACGCATTTCACTCTCGCTTCTCTCGGTCTCAGTCACGCAACGCTCACGTCGTCCTCGCGACTTGACGCCTCTCAGACTTGGTTCTTGATGATCATTATAGCCTTGTTCATGGAGATGTTCATCATGTTTAGCTTATCATGATACCACGAGCTTGTTTTATTAACATCACTTGTGTAAAAGTTTAGACTATGTGCCAACACTTGCGGTCTTTCAGAGAATAAGAAAAAAAAAAGAGAGAAACGGCCGGTTTTTGGATCCACCCAGAAAAACAGACCACACTGGTCGTCCGGTTCAAGGGTGAAAAGCGGTTCACCCTAAAATCGATCACCCCTAGACAATAGCCATTTTTCATTTGTACCACTAGGAATTTTGTATTGCATCGGGGGACAAATTGTTGAAATCTATCTATATCTCGATATAAAGAATAATTAAATAGACCATCATACATCATCAATGATTAGAATCCGACATATTCGGGCTGTAAAGCTAACAAACCTCCTCAACTTGGCAGTTCGTCTTCATACTCTCTTGTTAAAAGTCATCCATATCAATCTCGAATGGGAAGGGTACACTCATGGTGCACGAAGGAACTAGTCATATTCGAATTTTGGTGTGAACCCCCTAAATTGCCGGCATACCCTCAAATCTAAAAACTAAGGGGGTATTTGGTTCAGCTTTGGGAAGGGGCTTTGAGCCTCGAAAACCCCTTCCCAAAATGCTGGAGTGTTTGGTTCAGCATTTGGCCTAGTATTGGCCAAATGCTAGCATTCCAAATGCTGAAAGCCCAAGGCTGGTCCGGACCAGCCTTGGGCTTTCAACATTCCACGAATGCTACTGTTCATTCTTTTTTTTTTTTTTTTTTTTTTAAAGTTAGGGTTTGAAGCTGCTGTTCTTCTTCGGTGAGGGTGGCCGGCGAGGGAGAAGGGCCGGCGAGGTCGCCTGGGGTCGGGCGACCGCCCAGGCGACCACCCAAGCGACGCCGTCGCTGGGGTCGCTCGACCCAGGCCGTCGCCGCCTGGGTCGCGCGACCTCAGGCGACGGCCGCCCGGGTCGCGCGACCCAAGCGACGACCGCCGCGGCATTGCGCGACCTAGGCGCCGGCCGCCCGAGTCGCGCGACTCGGGCGGCCGCTTGGGTCCCGCGACCCTCGCCGAGGGTCGCCCGACCTCGGCGACGGCCGCCGGCCCCAGATCGGCCGGCGCGGTCGCCTCGACCTCGGCGACGACGCCACCCGAGCGCCGGCCGCCCGAGTCACGCGACTCCGAGGCGGCCGCTTAGGTCACGCGACCCTTGCCGAGGGTCGCCCGACCTCGGGCGACAGCCGCCGGCCCCAGATCTGGCCCACCGGCGGTCGCCCGACCTCAGGCGATGGCCGCCGGCGCCAGATCTGGCTCGCCGGCGTCCGGCCGACGCCGGCTCCGGCGAAGGGTAATAAGTTAGGTTTTTTTATTCCCAAAGTCCATTTGCAAAAAAAATTCACCAAACACTATATTTTGGTCAAAGTAGCTTTACAAAATATTTTTACCAAACACCATTTGCATTTTCCCAGTGGGCTTTCACCCAAAGGTATTTGCATTCCCCCAAGTAGCATTTTCAAAGTTGAACCAAACAGACCCTAAGTCTTGGCGAAGTAGCTCCGGTAATAACGACTCGTGCAATTTTGCGGGTTAAAGAAAACATAGGAGATGGAAGAAATGGCTTCCTCCACACCTTGTTAATAGTGTCTAAAGGGAGAATGCATCTGTTCTCGAAACACAATGTCGATAACATTAACTAAAAAATTTCGCAAGCTTATAGAATGATGTTGATGATAAAGAAGTGGTGCTAATATCCCCATGGATATCAATCATTATATTCTTGTTCAGAAAATTTGTTGCTCACCTTTGAAAACTACTGACCAAATTGAAAATCAATAGAAGCTAAAATTGTCGAGCTTATTTTGTTCTATGAAAGTCACTATCCACATCGAGAATTTACTAACTATAAGGCGGTCGAAAATTGCTTTTCGGAATTCAAAGTTACTTATCACACAACTAATCACTAACAATCGCATTCCCTTGAATATAAAAGAAGAAACCATCAACTACAGTGCAAAGGTTACCCTGTACAATTTCTTATTATTCTATCATGTAGAGAAGTTACTAACCAATTCAAGTGGCTGCAAATTTCTGATATGTGAAAGTTACTTCATGAAATGTACGAATCTACTGTAAATTACAATATCTAGAACCCTCAGGAAATAACAATATGTTAAGGGCAACTAACGTTTTTTGAGGAGGGATTTATTATTTGGTTGATTTCGCGACCAAACAATTACGGATTGCAGTAAAGTACAGTGACCACGAATGAAACACACCAGTTTCTTTTGCCATCCAAGAATGTATAAAAGATGATGCGAAGCCTAAACCATAAAGAATGAAAGCTATCCAACAACTTATGATAAATCCTCTGTACTTTAAAAATCCAAACCCATCTCACCTTCCTCAGCTTTTCAGGAAGAAGATCCGGTTCATCCAAGTTTTTGACATTTCTCCCATAAGTCGTTCACTTGACCGGTCATTGTCTCGTCCCGAGATTTTGTGAATTCAGACTATTCATGTATATGATAGTACAAACATCAAATGCACAACTCCCTCTATATTCGGACAACCCATTGAAAAGGAACTAAAGCTATCTAAGATAAGACGAACAATGAGCTCCGAGCAGTATGACCACCTATCGATTCAAGAAATAAGCGCAAGACTAACCAACCACATCGCATTTACCATTGATGTCCATTTTGGGGCCTCCCTGCTTGATTTATAGGGTGTGCAACACTATGTCCTGGACCGTCGTTGAATGTTGGACTCACACTCGCTGTCACGGGCATTTGACGGGGAAAATTCTGTGCTGAAACATCTTTTGAAACCTTTGCACCTTTCCTCTTCCTCTTTGTGTTGAAAAACCCACATTCCATCGATTCCAATGCTTTTCTCGTCAATGGCCGGTTCCTAGTACTTTGCCTGCACCTGTTCCTATTATGCTGTTGCTCTATGTTGGGAGCGCCATAGGATGGATTTGACAGCTCTGTCTGCTGATCCGACCCAGAGGATGGATGTGATGATTTGGCAGAACTTGTTTGATCATGACTTTGCACTACTTTCTGGGTCAAGGATTCATGAGTTCCAGTATCGGTTGATACTTGCTGGAGAGTCAAGTTGATCGATGCATGGGAATTTTTCTTGTCCAATGATGGAAATCCATTCTTACAACTTTCAGACTTGTGCTCGTCCGGACTGATTTCAACAAAGGAACATGCAACCGAAAATTCTTGAGATGAACCTCCCTGCAAGACTATGCTCTTGTTCTTAACAGACGAAAGAAAATGAAACTCATTCTTGTATAATTTTCTCTGTGCAGAGAGATTTCCGATGCAACTGTTCGATTCTCCACAAGCAAGAGGACTTAAATCTCGCTGTTGTGAGGTGGAACCCTTGCAATCTGGGTGGCCAGCCTTCATTCCCAGGTCAAATCGACATTTCTTAAGCAAGATTGGCTGTATATTATCAATAGCTCTTGTTGCATCACCTGATTTATGAGATCCTGCTCTATCATCAGTTGCATCATCTTTGTCTTCAGACACTTCAGAAGTATCTTTTTCAATTTGCCCAGAATGAGTAGATGCACAGGTCGTCTCACTTGGTAAAAGTCTCACCTCTCTCATCTTAGCCTGTCCTTTACAAACCGAACTAGTATCCACTATCATGAAGCTGGCTGAAGCTGGACTGGGTTTTGAATTCTGGGGCTGCATATACCTCTGGTGGCATTTCCTATTTACAACTTCATCCGAGTCACACTTTGAAGATGTTTCCTGCCAGCTTTCTTCCTTAAGACTAATTTCTTTTACTGCTCCAAGTTCGAGCTCGATAAGCTCGGGGTCCAATTTAACTTTACTCAAGATATCGCTAATAGAGTCGAAGTAGTGGTTTCCTTTCACAAGATGCCCTCTTGTAAACTTTTTGATGCCTGGTGTGAGGAAAACCAAAGAATGCTTTGACCCAGAATGACTGTAATCCTCAGGCTGCTCAGAGTGCCATCCTCTAGCTAAAAGGCGGGGCCAAATAGCTTCCCAGAAAATATCCCTCGACCTAGCTTTACTTAACCTAAAGTCTCCTGTTAGAAGCTTGATTATTTCAGCGGGTGGAAGTAAAGAGCAAGATTTGCCAGTTGGAATCGCTGGAACCTTGCTTTTCTTTTTTGTTGACTCATCGACCACACGGGTGAGATCTCTCTTTCGTTTGCCGATTCCTACTGCTTCGACTAGATGGCCAAGACCGACCGCATCCTTTACAGTGAATACATACTCTTCAAATGAAGTTCTTCCCTCTTCCATTTGCTGAGAAACCTGCAGCCACAATATCTAGATCAGCATGATGTGATGCTTTTCTCACTAAAACAGATACAACTTATAATAGAAGGATACAGATTGAGTAACAAATATAACGCGTTGCGCCAGCAGATATAGCATTCACAGAAACTGATGTGTTCTAAAGATTGGAATGAATTGGCTGACACGAAAATAGTTTGCGAATTCAGAGTATTAGTCCTAAGACAAGAAGCAAAAAAATAACGAGGCGAATTTAAGGTAACATTTTTAGATGCTCCTCTCTGATGTTGCAGCCAAATTATTAGAGAAACAGAACAGATCCTCAGCCTTAGGGCCTTCACAGTTTAACACGGAAGAAAGATTAGGTAAATTCAGCGACTTAACAATTTTCAATACTGTGAAATTTAAAGGGGATGAAGGGATGATTTAATTCCCTAGATTCCTTTCAACCTTATCAAGCTGCTATGGATATTAATCTAGCAGCTGTGAGCCGATAATTGTGGGAACTTACTCCTAGCATGCATAGTGAAATAAATTACATAGCTCAATGAGGAGAGAAACCAGAAAATACTCAAATATAAAAAATAACCGGTGCTCGCTCAAAGGAAAAACCATAAATCCAAGATATAACCCACTTCACTCAACTTCCAAGCCATGGCCTCACTGGCCATGTTACATTGCCCAAATAGTGTTTAACACTGACAGTGTGGAAAGAAACACACTTCTCACTGATGCGACAGGGATGTTTAAATCTACAGATCTAAATGGTCAAATATCAACTTTCCATTGTTCTAAAGTGCCATGGCATTACAACAGAGTCCAGTATTGAACTTGTTTATTTTACCATTCATCGTCTATAGAGTTGAAGTTTCTTGTAGTTTCATAGCATTTAAAATAAGATGTTTATCATGGGAATGTCAGTGTTCTTTAAGTGTTTGAGCAAATATCACCAGAAAATAAAACAGACCGTAATATATTTATGAGAATAGTGATCATAAAGGCCAAACATAATGCTGAAAGTAATCTTAGCGAACACCGGAAACATCAGCTGCCAAACCAGAGTAACTAGTATGCTGATCATGTGCTGGCACATTGTTCAGGGGAAAAAAGGGCAGTGAGTCTGTGACATTCAAGTCAAAACATCAAAATATGAGGGTTGTCATGCATGTTCAATTATTTATCTGTCCGACTGGGATGAATAAGCATGAACAAACCTCAATAATAAGCTTTTGGCAATCCTCTGAGATACGAGAAACTAATCGAGATAGTAATTCCTGGTGCCTCCATCCAGTGAATATCTTCTTCCCAGAAACACGCCTCTTCCGTAACTTCTTACAGTCCAACCATCTGTGATATCCCGACGAACCATAAAACTTCCCGTAGTAAAAGCGCAGTATATCGCCCATCGGTTTACTTTCAACAAACCTCTTAACAAGGATAAGATTCTTCCCAAAGATATACAGACCGAGGGCAAAGCCGTCGCATTCAGACTTAGTCCAAGCTTCGCTGGATGAGTCAGGCAGATTGTAGATGCCAACATCTAGATCCATCTTAGTTTTCGGTTCCTCCACTAAAGAATGCACATCCATCTTATCAGCTCCATCTGCTTCACCAAGTCGTTCAAGATCTTTCACGTCTTCTCCATTAGCAAACATTGTATTTGGAGTCATCAGATTCTCTCCTTTGCCAACAAATTGGGCACCGATTAATTTATTTGAGTTCTGCATAGGATCATTCTCCACAACTATCGAAGGAATTTCAGCTTGGTACTGATCTCCAACCCGTGGAAGGACCTTTGGATCTCCAAAACCATCATTTGTCCTGGATAAACAACTAGAAAGTACCGGGTCTGCAGATTTCTCTTCAGTGCCTTCCATCTTGCTGTGAACGATAAAGAAAGTCCGTCACTAAGATAATTTAAATCAATACATTTCAGAAATATCAAAGCATAAAGATCTAGCTAGTCAAAGAACAAGCTTATATAACATATGAGAACGGACTTGTTATGGGACTCAGACTAAAGTAAGTTGACAGTGACCATGTTTAGCCATTCATTTTAACAGAGAGTCAATTTGTTCCCATCTCGTGCGACCCGTGTCACGAAAAGCATGGACTGATGCCTTCGTTTAGGACCAGTTACAAAGTTATTTTTGAATAATCAATCTTATTATAATAAATGTCATCAGCCTTTTCAAGTATATGATCAAACTATAAATATTCTACTCTGACAAAGGGGATATAAACCTATTACTAGATGCCTCAGTTTTCACATCAATCCACTAGCAAACCCCACGATCTATGACTTCTGGTTCGATATTAATACCATACATGAGACTGCATCAGAGTGATATGGCACCTCCGAGCCAATTGGAATACCACCCGGTTCTCCTATTGTATCAAAATCACCCGATGACATGAAGAAAGTGCTAAAGTTGAGGCTTTTACTAACATATCTATCTTCCACAAATGCTCAGTCATTTGCCTACCTAGGATATTAAATCCTGCATTCTAGCCCAAAAAGGAAGATGGGTGCTTTTGAAATTAGAAAATGAGCAACGAACAATCGCAATAAGATCACAAAACGACTTGCTAATAAGTAAATCAGCAGACATCATAAGCGAATAAATCATATTAAAGCCCAGCATTGATGAATTGACAAGCAAATGCTTTCTAAGCAGAAGAATGTCATTCCTGAATCGATCACCAAGCAAACAAAGCCGCATTTAAAGTTCCCGATCACGAATAACAAGAACACATTATATGATCTGCGTTAGAACCCAAAAGCAATATACGAATAAAGCTACCACGAAAATAAACCTATCGAGCTACAAGCAGCAATCGTTGAGACATCTCCAAATTCAGAGGATGCCCCCAACCTACAACGTCACATTAAATAAATAGACATCAAAGTTAAAACGAATAGCATTCGAGTGAAGGAATCGTAGAATCACCATGTCAACCGCAATCAGTTAAAGCTATGTATAAACCCATATAATTCCAAAACACATTTAACTGATAAAACAACGAAAGAACGAGGAGACACATCCAAATGGATATAGCTAACAAAGCTGAGCATGCAAAGAATGATCGAAAGAAAAAACAGTGATGTAACCATTGGAGAAAGAACTCACACGTCAACAAGCCACGCCCTTAAATGAACAACAGAGCAGGTGGGTCTTTGCGCTGATACTTGATCGCCACCTTTCGGTCGTGAAAAATTAAGGAGGGAGCAGGAGGCAAAGCAAACAGGAAACAGAGGGAATAAGACAAATAGTCATGTTGGAGAGAGGGAGAAAGAGAGAGAGAGAGCGAGAGACAGAGGAGATATATATACTGAAGGTCGAGGGAAGTCAAATTCTTTAGGACTTTGCCAAAGAGAGAGAATGTAGAATTGGCAGAACGAAGTTGTAAGATTCAGAGAGAGAGAGAGAGAAAGGGATGCTGTCTGGTTTGATTTACCTGAGTGCGATGCCACTCGCGTTTCATGAGTTCAAGCCTCGGAGTGATCACGGTGCCATGTTATTTGTTTTGGACGGCAAACTAAACCTCGACAGTCTATAAGTGCATAATTTGGCTTTAGCTTTTACATGATTTTTTTCTTTTTGTAATTTCCTAAGTTTATTGCGAACAAACACATTTTTCACATCTAGGTGTTCTTTTTCACAGGCGCCTCACGGAACATTGCCCCGTTAGGGAATAAGTCAAAATTAGTCATAGAATCTCGAGTTATCCTCGTTAGAATGGAACGTCATAAAAGATGAGACTTGCCCGAAAAGACCTTACCAACTCCCTTACTCATTTAGAAGGCCAGATACTAGTTCACGTCTTTATGGGGCTGTAGTGACCCTTTAGCGGTCCGTATGCATAGGACACGTGACGACTTATTATTGGCCAGCGTTCTTATAAAGGGCTACAGCCTATCAATCATCAATCTTACTAAACTGGGCTATGCAATAAGATCGTGTCCATTAGTCGTCTTAATCCTCTCATTATAAATGCCCTGCAATTTTATTTTTATCGTGGTTCAGAGCTTATCACCATTAGTGGCTTTCCGAAAAGGGAGTAAGATGTGTTTGGTTCAACATTTGCAAAGCCCTTTGGGGCCCTAGAGCTCCTTGAGCAAGCAAATGCCTTTTGGCAAAATTTTTGGGGAGATGCAATTGCATCTGCAATCAGCGTGCCCGGCAAGTGTCTGGTGTGCAATCGGCGAGCAGCCGGCGTGCCACCGACGAGCCATTGCCACCCTCACTAGCAGTGGCTGAGTTTCGCCAACCAATAGTTTGAAATTTTGTATAAAAAAAATTAGCAAAAACCCTTCATAAAGTATAGTTTTTACTAAACAGCCTTTATATCAAAATTATTTTCTGATGTTTTTTTAAAATATATTTTACCAAATATTACTCACATTTCGAAAAGCCTTTTCAGCCCAAAAGCCTTTATAATTTTCCGAGCACATTTCCCCAATGTCAGTCCGAGCACATTTCCCCAATGTCAGTAAAACGAACCCTTAGAATCTTGGTGTGCCCTTGTTTCTGGTAGACTTTCTGACAGGGAATCCAAACCATGAATGATACAATCACCTTAAGAATGGATGCTAGGACAGTTGAGCATTTGAAGATGCTGGAAGACTCCCAACTGAAAATATCTGGCATTTTACAGCTTGACAATTTGAGTCTCGAGTGTTCTGTTTTCCTGAAGAAAATGGTGAAGGTTTGTGGAAATGTGCTGTGCCGCTTTCTTTGGAAAGAGAGGTGAGCTCGAGCAGGAAAATGGTCCAATGAGTCCTAAATTTATTATACGGATGCCAATTTAATCATAAACTTCAATCCTAAATTTTCTAATTTTGCCAATTTAATCTCAAACATTTACGCGAAATTCCAATGTAGTCATTCCAGCTAATTTTCGCCAAAAATCACTGATGTTGTGGTCCTCAACGTTGGACGGCCAACGATGACTGGACCGTTACGTCAGCGATTTTCGGTGAAAAATGACCAAAAATATTACATTGAAATTTCGCGCAGAGGTTTGAAGACTAAATTGACAAAATTGAAAAGCTTATAAATTAATTGACACTTATACTATAGATTTAATATTGATTGGGTAATTTTCTCGAGCTCGAGCTAAGGGAACCTAGGAAGCATGGAGCGATGTCTGCATATCAAAATGTGAAGGTGGATTAGGGCAGCAGAACTTGGCTCTTTGGAAACTTGCCAATATCTTGAAGAAACTTTAGCAACTATTTGATGCAATTTGGTTTGATCTAGGTTCCAGTGGTTAAATGACAGTTTTTATTTTGTAAATTATATACTATTGAAATCCATTTTTCTTAAACTTGTAAATTATTTGAAATAGCCGGTTTATTACAAATTACAAATTACAACTTCATTCAAGTTAATTTCTTTGAAATCCACATATTCTAATTAATTCAAGAAAATCCATTTAATTGAACATAAAGTTGATAAGGGAAATCCTTACCAAAAAAAAAAGTTGATAAGGGAAAATGACACAAATAGCCCCTAAACTTTGGCTCAATACGGAATGTTATCTCTAAATTTTTAATTCATTTAATGTGGTTCTTACAATTCTTTCTATATGTTTAATCTAGTCCTTTAACTTTTAATTTATGCAATCTAGTTCCTCAACTTTCCATAACAAAGTCAATCTTTTCTTCGGTAGCGTTTACAAATTTTCATAATTAAAGTATTGCCCAGATTTTTGAATACCTTTTCATTTCAATCCATTCCTTAAATCAACAAAAAACTATGTTATCTTTTTATTACATTGTACATTTTTTGTCCTTTGAAATATTACTATAGTTACATTTAAGTATATATACACTTATTAAAAATGAGTGTTTCCATAAAAGTATTTAACTAGACTAATAATTTATCTATAGATTTCCCGTACTTATATTAATCTAAATCTTGTTCCTGATTATTAGATAGATAAAGTTTTCAAGGTTTTGTGTTTTGTGTTCTCTTAATTAAATTTAGTTAAATCTATAAATTAAGAAATTAAAATAGCAGAAATATCAACCGCATACAACTCTAAGTGATATTGTACTTTTACCATTATAGATATCATAACTCAAAATATACTTAAAAGGGAACTATCGTAATGTTTACAAAGCCTAAAAAGGTTAAAAAAAAAGTAATAAAAAGATGGTCATATTTTTTTGCTGATTTAGGAAATGGATTGAAAGGAAAAGATTTTCCAAAATCCGGAAAGTAATAATGAGAACTTTTGATTTTTTAATACAGAGTTAAGGGACTAATTGAACATATTGAAAGTTTAGGGACCTGATTGAACATTTATGAATAATTCAAGAGTCGCATCGAACGAATTAAAAGTTCATGGATGACATTGCACATTTGGCCAAAACTTATGGACTATTTGTGTCATTTACCCAAAAACAATCCCATTGAAAAGTATTCCTTTATAATTTTCCAATCATAAGTTCCCATAAATAAGTTTTGAGTTCAAACTTTTAATCGTTACTTGGCCCGTACTTTGCATGCGCATATCTACGGACATATTAATCTACGAAGAAATCCTCTTAACAAAAAAATAAAACAAAAGCGGAACAAATTAAATACATATGCTCTTAATTAATAAACTATATGCAAATTATTTTTTTCCAAATAATTAAATACATTGCACCAAGAGAATTACAATGATTAGAAAGATTAATTTAATATCTTAAGAATATGGATGAGAATAAAGTTCATGAACTTTACTTTTTTCAATAAAATTTTTGTCCTTTTCATTTATATTTCAAATGTTATTGTTCGAGTCTAAAATTGAAAAAAAAAATTAGATAAAGATAAAATACATTAAAAAATATTCTTAAGTATTAAATTTTAATTTTCAAAAAAATTAAAATGGTAAAAATAAAAGAAAACCTCTAAATAAAAAAAAATAAACAAAAGTAGTAGACAAAACTAAATGCACGTGTTGTACCACTTATTTCATTTTAAAAAGGGATATGTTCACCGAAAGTCGTAAAATTTATTACCAAAGTGTAATTGAGTCCTAAAACTTGCTCGAGTCCTAAAACTTGTCAAATTGATTCAATCAAGTCCTAAAGTTAACATCGTCCAATTTGAATAACGAAAAATGCTAACGTGACTTTTTTATATCCCACGTGGCAATGACATGATTTTTTTAATCATTATTTTAATATTAATTTTTATTTAAATTAAATTTAAAAATAAGCTAAATTAAAAAAAAATTAGAAAAAGGAGGAGGAAGGTAGGCTTGCCCTCACCGCCGCCCCACCATCGCCGGGAGGGGCCAACGAGGGTGGGGGGATGACAGGCGGGGGTCACCGGGCCCTAACCAAGGGCCGGGGACCCTCATCGACGATAGGTTATGGCTTGCGAGCCCTCCCCGAGATCGGGCGAGGGTTGCCGGACCTCGCCCAAACCTGGCCGAGGGTCGCCAGTGGTGGCTGACCCTCGCTAGATTTGGGGGAGGGCCGCCACGACGGGGGTCGGCCGCCAATGGCGACCCTCGGCCGAGCCTGGGTGAGGGCCGACGACCCTCGCCCAATCTGGGGGAGGGCTGTGACCCCACGCCTGTTGTCGGCGAGGGTCACCGGTGACCCCTGCCTGCTTTCCCCCTACCTTTGCCGGCCCCTCCCAGCAATGGTGGGGCGGCAGGAGCGGCGGGGAGGGCAAGCCTTCCTTCCCCGCCTATCCTTCTCCTCTTTTTTTTTTCAAATTTAAATAAAAGTAGTATTTCGTTTTGGTCACGTTATTGTCATGTAGGAAAGGAAAAATGTTAAAATAAGTCATGTTAGCGCCACGTCAGCATTTTCCATTAATAAATTTGACGGTATTCACTTTATGACTCATTTGAACCAATTTGATAAGTTTTAGGCCTCGATTGCATATTTTGCAAGTTTTATGACACAATTACACTTTGATAATAAATTTTAGGTCTACTAGTGAACATATCCCTTTTAATAATTAGATTCATAAACTCCTCCTCGAACTCCCTCTCTTCCAAGCAACTCGGCTCTCGAGCACCGCGCGACTCGGTGACTCGGTCGTCCGACTTCAAATTCCGGCGAAGCTGCGGCGACCTGAACCGAAAGAAATGCGGCGGCGGCGGCGGAACATTTTCCCGGGAAATCCGGGCGCCGTCCGGAGCTTCTCAGGTGCCCTCGCGTCGCTCTTCGCCTCCGCAACTCTCTCTCTCTCTCTCGCCCTCTCTGTGTGTGACATTGTTGCGTTGAACCGGAACGATTTTGCAGCCGACGAGGAAGACATCGACGGCGACCTCTCGGATGACTGCGTCTCGTTGGGCGCGCGCGCCGGGAGAGAGGTTAGCGCTCCGCTCCCCGCTCCGTGTTGGATCGCTGTTTGTTTTTTTGACGGATTGCGTTCGGCGTAATTCTTGTGCTCGACCGCTTCTGGTTGCTCCGTCTGGAAACTACCGAACGAGCGTTCGTGCTTCTCGAATTCGACTCGGTTTTTTGTAGATATTGAGAGCCGACTGAAGCATCGGAATGCGCATGGATCGTCTGTTCTGACTGTATATTTTTGTGCTTGCGTAGGACGTACTGCAGATTCTGTCTCAGCTGGAAAAACTCAGAGGTACCTGTATTTCTGTTTCTTGTTCTTGAAATTCTCTTTTTCTCTTTTGAATCGATATGTTTGTCGGATGATCATTGTGAATTTGCAATTCGGTGCGAAGAATATCGATGTCGATATGTCCTTAATAATCGACGAATGATCTAGCAAGTGGCGCCGCTACTGCGACCCTAGTGTTCGTCGTGACTGTTTTTTTTTCATCGCGGAATGTTCAAATATCTGCAATTTGATCAGATGCAGGAGAAACTTCTGCTGTTTGGAGCTCTGTTAAACCATTCGAGGTAGGTGTTACTGGTTTTCCTAGATAATGTTTTCAGCTTGTTTTGCTTAGTATAATGATTTTTTTTTTTTGTAAATTGTGAAACTTGTTCGATTAGGAGCGAGCTGAGTTCCCTCTGGAGGATGAGGTTGAAGTTCCTGATTTTGGCAATGACCGTCGCTTCAGCTGCTCCCCGAAGAGTGAATTCACGCGCTGCGCTGCAGATGACGACGAAATGATATCTGATGATGAGGTACATCGAGAAATAGGTCAGCCCTTTGCTTGGCTATGGCGTACCCGTCCTTGGATATTGTCATACATTATCTAAGCCGCATTTTCTTTATTATACCTTGCGCAGGAAAGTAGCTTGCTTGCTAAACTCTCCACTCTGTCGAGTCATAGAAAGATTCAGGAAGTTGGCTTTCATGCCTCTGAAACGAAAGAGAAGGAATTGCCAACACTCTCTGCGGTAGTCAAAGATGCCGGAGAATCAGTCCAGTCTATTCAAAGTGCTTCATGTTCGTTGAGACATGCTACCCACTCTAGAGCAAACCGCTGTTCTAAAGGTAACATAACTTCGAAGGTTTTAATTGTATATTTTTTTTTCCGTTTTTGTGCCTCCCTGACATTTCCTTCCATAGCTGTATGTTGCCATCAGGCAACTACAAAATTTCTTCATTAGAGTTTAGAATTTCTATATCCGATGGAAAGCAGCTTATAACATCTCAGTTCTTTAAAGTTTCGACTTGGAGATGGAGAGTTTTCTATGCGTATGGAGCTAAGGTAGATTTGATGTCACAATAATTGTGTAGTTTGTTATAGAGAGTTCAATTCCTGATGAAACAAATGGTATGCTGATTCAAGAAAACCATCTTGGTGATTTATTCTGAGGTTGAAATTGACTGAGTACATAATTATGCGTCATATTTTAGTTGGGATTATGCGCTTTTTCCTGTACTCTTCTGTGACTTTGACCTTACAATATAGTTGATGTAGATTTTATACCTAGTCTATCTCTCTATTTGAGAGTTTGCGGTGATTAAACCGAATTTCTTACTTTTCACCGAAATATTTAAATTGAATCTTGCAATATAATAATTTACAGCTTGCCTATCTCATGATTTATATTTCTCTGTAAGTTCGTTGTTTTCCTTCCTCTAATCACCAAACTTTGTCCTTGAAAACTGAGAATCAGCAATATTGGATTTGGCCATTGATTTTTTTCAGTGACATTAGGTAGCTAGCTTTATTTCTCGGAGACTAAACTTCATTTGGATTGGTTGTGTATCTATTGATAATCCAAGCCTAATTTCAGCACTTGGGTTTAATTACTTTTGAAACTTCACATTGACTCGTCTACGGGATTGCCTATGATGACTGGTTTCGTACTTTTGATTGACTCTTTCCTTCTTGAATTTCTTGCTTGGTTCCGTTGCATCCTATAGCATGATTTCTACTTCTCACCCATTATCACCTCTCTGAACTCTGATGTATTTTTGTCCATGGTTCTGCATGGTACGATCTGCGGTTGAATATGTCAACTAACTGCAACAGCTTCCAAAGGCAAAGCCAAGGCAAAATTTTCATTTGGTTTTCACCGAAAGGATGAACACTGGTCCTGTATTGCGAGGGATGAAATTGGGGGGTCACAAAAGGTATGTGAACAGCCGGAAACACATGAAGATGTAAAGGGAATAGATCCGGGCCATCAAGCTATAGATGCCCCTGATGATTTCGATGAAGAAGAAAATGAAGATTCAGAAGTCATGCCGTCCAATGCTCTAGTTCTTGGACATGGATATGCTACGCATTCTATGGCTGACCTTCTAGATGGACTCCATGACAGCAGTAGCCTTCCAAATGTAACGGTTTGCCCTTTCCTTTGTTGAAATTTTTTTACCAGTCAGGACATGGGATTCACTTTTTGATTTACTTTATGATGAAGTCTGGTAGAAAAAGACGGCCTAGGATGGGCTTTGCAAACAGGAGAAGTACATTTACTACGGGACAAGGAATGCCGGATGATGAAGGGGAGCTCGAGGCAGTGGACAGTAGATCACCTAGTGAAGATGAGGTATTCATTGACTTTGACTCTTTTCTTCTTTTTGTGCTTTTTACTTGCGTACGCTTGAAACTGTTTGTATTTTTCCATCCAGAACAACTTTGATGAGCTGAAGCTTCCTGCAGTATACTTTAAACAACAAAGCATGGCAGATTGCATTCAGCAAGTTTTAGATTATACTCCTTTGGACAGTGCAAGTGCTCTTATCACAGTTCCAAAGTCATTGGGGTAGTGTTTGGGGACTAAATTTTTGTTCACACAATTATAGTGGTAAAAGGAGGTGGTAGTCCTGACCGCACTTGCCTATCATCCTGCAGCTTTGGACTATTTGGAAGATTGCAACAGGTCATGCAGATTGAAAAGGAGAGCGAGCAGGAATTCTTGAAGAACCTGCAGGCTGGTGCCAGCGCAAGTTGTGATCTTGTCACTTTGTTTTTCCTGAAAACAGCATCTCCTCTGAAATAGAATAAAAAAATTAGGCTTAATTGAACAGAAAGATTGGTAAAATTACCGATGGAAAAAGGCATTGCTAAAATGGATTTTTCCTGTCTAAGAAAAGTTGCTTTTTTATTTCCGTTGCCTAATTTTGATTATTTTTCATTTTTCCTCAGGTAGATCAGGCTTCATTGATGTAATGATCCTGTCGAGAAACTTGGATGCAAAGCTCACTGTTTGTCTTTGCTCTCTGGAACAGAACCAAGAGGTCAAATTTTGATTAAAATCAATTTTAAGGAATATATTTATCATTCTCATAACTTGCACATCGGTCTAAGAGATTTAGAAGGAACCTACATACATGCTTAACTGAAAAGCCAGCCTATTAAGTTTCTCCTTTCTAATAGTAATTATTCAGATTTTATGCTGTCTTGTGTATACTAATTTTAAGTGCAAGAGCTGTTGTCGACATGTATATTTTTGCTCTGACTTGGAAAATCATAAATAGATTACGAGGGAAGTTTTCGTTTGTTACTCTGAAAATTTGAATCCTTTCAAGTTGGAAGAATATGAATTACTGAACTGTAATTGCTTATTTACTTGAAACCGTCTTGCTCTTCCCTTTTTGTGTAACTAATGATAGTGACGCTATTTTTTTCTTTTTTGCGTATACATTCGTGTATGTAAGAATGTGTGCACAGCGGGATGTGAATGTTCATTTCTGTGTCTGCAGGGAACCCCGTCCTCACATTGTAGTCAGGCAGATTTAACAGGAAGAATGAGGACTGTGATTTTTAACCCAAGAATTTGCAACAATGTTGATCTCGAAATTGGAAACCTGATTCGCATTTATTCCCCTTGGTAGGTATAGTTGGTTTGAAGTACTGTTCTTCTAACGACTGTTCGCCAAAATTCACAGAAAAATATTGCTCGCCGAGATTTCTTTACATCTGGAAATGTTTATCAGTTATTGTAGTTTTGAACCAGAATTTCCCTCACAAGTTGCCAGATTACACGGATTTATGGTCATTCAGTTACCTCGTATCCTGTAAATATATCTTTGTTTCTTGAAATTTTGGATGGAAAATCACATTCAAATGCTGTTTTCATTTGAAGTTCGATGTGGGCATGATCTGTGACAGTGGTAAGCGTCCGTCTGTGTTGCTGAAAGTTAGAAACTGACCCCAATTACATTGCAGGAAGGAGGTTCAAGTCATGGGCTATGAGAAGAGCATAATTTTGTCCACGCACTTTTCTCATGTCTCAGTTTGAATTCAAGTTCCACCAAGGAGGTGACATCATACCTTCCCCGGGTAGTTCATTTGATTTATCAGTCAACACTTTCTGTTCATCTTTAAGAAGTTGAGGCACAATCAAATGCGAAATCTGTGGTTGCGTAACCCCTTGTATTAGTGTTTTTTTTTTTTCCACATCCTCTTTTTTTTTTCCCGTTTTCTTTTTTTCTTTGTTAAGTCAAGTCTGTCACATGATGTGGTGGCAACTACCATATAAGTATTAGATAATGCAATAGATCTGGAGTAGAGTCTTACATGGGGTCTATAATTTACATCTAACACAAATGAAAATTGTGTTCGTTTGAAGAGATTGGTCTCTGGACTGAAGAATTCTCACTAGGACGAGTAGTTTACATGAACTTTTTGGATTTCTTTTTCAAATAGGGTGATTGTGCTCTGTTTGACACCAATTTATTCGCTAGTGCTTCGAAATTGCATTATATGTGTGTTGGAAATTTATATGCTTTTGGGGTTTTGCGGCAGTGCATCAATTTGTTAAATTCTGCCTCTATCAAATAATTGTCATATCACGTGATTTTGTTAACGTGACCTCGCCTACTTAGCAAAATTCAAGCATGGTTGATGACATGGTTCGGTTACGTAGCACAAATTGTGTTGTCTCCATCTAAGCATTGGGTGATCAGGAGAGAGAGAGATTTTAGTATCATCATCTCGGGAAGACACATTGGACGTTAATTTAACGGTTAATGACTATTTAACGGTGTTATCAGTCAAGTGGGAAGCTTCCATCCGCGATTTTAACTAGTGCCTCTTATTGACTCAAATTTATAAGGTTGAGATACTTGATTTAACAAAAAATAAAATTCGAGTACTCGACTGCAAACCATTAGGCACTTGCGGTGTTCTTATCTTCGATCAATTGAACAATGGGCGAATGGCAATGAAACCTATATAGATTTATAGGAAAAATTACCAAAAAATTCCTAAATTCATTGCACTTGTGTCAATTAAGTTCTCAATCTTTCAAGTTTGACCAATTTAGTCATAAATCTGTTGACAATTTGTCAATGTTATTCATCCAGTCAATTTTGGCTGGAAATCGCTGACGTGGACGCTGGGCGTGTTTATGTTAATGTGGACAATTTTTGCAATTTTTCAATATATTATTTTGAATTTTTTTTTTTTTAGCCTTCTTCCTTCGCCGGTCGCGGGCCTCAGCAATGACCAGCCACAGGCGAGGGCCGGCAAGGCTCGCCCTAGTCGAATCTAACAAGAGGTCATCCTTCGCCAACCTCGAGCAACCTTGCCCCGGCAAGGGTTGGTGTCGCCGACTTTGAGTGAGGCTTGACTTCGCTCCTGTGAGGGCGAGCCTCGTTGGCCCTCGCCTGTGGCTGGTCGTCGAGCATCACCGGCCATTGAGGAGGTCCGGCGACCAGTAGAGGAAGAAGGAAAAAAGAAGAAGAAAGGATTGACAAAAGAAAACAAAAAATTATAAAAAAATTATTCACGCCAATGCCGATCATGCCACGTAAGGCGGTCGCGTCTACGTTAGTGATTTCCAACCAAAATTGGCCGATGGATTACATTGTTAAATTGTCAAAATGTTCATGACTAAATTGATCAATTACGTTTGAATTAACACAAGTGTAATAGGTTTAGGATTTTTTATAATTTCACCCCATATTTATAGGTGGCATTGTTTGAAGATCACGTACTATGGACAAATAACTAGCGGAATGCCCTCTATGAGTGGGCTTTTGCTACTTGTGTGGCTAAAACATGTGCAACCATCGCTGCAGAATTGGTTCAATGTGCTAATCCCTCCTTTCCTTGTTCATCCAGCGACCCCACCTTGCAAGCAATGGATTGCCCCGTCGGAATGAGTTCCCTCCTTGAACTTCGGAATTAGTATGCCCTGGTATTCTCTGGTCGTTGCACTATCTTTTTTCTCTGCTTCCCTTTGAGTGACGTTTTGTACTTCACTCTTACTTGATCGATGAATTGTATCTTTCATCAAAACGACCAAGGAAAAACAAGATCAGGATACTTACCAAAAAGATCCTAAACATATTACATTTATGCCGATAAGTCATAAATCTCTTAATTGTACTAATTTAATCATAAACATTTGACTATTTGCCAATGTAATATTAAACCTTTTGCCAATTTGCCTCGCCAAATCAACAGGTTTAGGACTGAATTGGCCAAATTGAAAAAGTTTAAAATTGAATTAGCACAAGTATAATAGGATTACGCCTTTTTTGGTAATTTATCCAAACAGGATCTGTGACCCCTTGCGCTTCACTTCTACATTCGCCATGGAAGTTACCTCTTCTGGTTCGTGCGTCCATGGTGCAGGATCCGATGCCGTGTCTCGCTGTCCCCACCAATGCTGTCCCATGTCTGTTTCACCGTGAAAAAGGGGCGGAATCTTCATAGAATTCGAATGTGAATGTGAATGCAATACGTGGGGTTGACATTGGAGACGAAGGCAGTAAACAACGGAGTACGCTTAGAAGCTAAGATCTCGAGCGGGGCATTAAGTTGGGACACCTTCTCACGTCTCCGGACGGACCGAGTGGGAACATGTTTTGTTTCTATGGATCAGAGTGAGGAGGGTTGATTTGGCTATACCGCACTTGGCATGTGTCGTTCATCGGTTTCCGTCGTCATTCAATGCTGTAAGGTCGTTCTCCCATGTGTTTTCTTATCAGAATAAGGATCTCATCGAGATACTTGCTAGCCCAAATAAGCTCCTGCTAAATTTTCTTTTCATAATGCATTCCCTTTTCTCCCAAACATAATCCGTCGCTTTTTCGAGATCGAATATTTCTTATTAGGTATACTTTTACATGGGCTTGGTACGATCTTTAGAGACTGTGCTCTCGGAACAAATCTTCTCCTTCCATTTTTATGATTTTTTAAACCACTAATATTTTAATCTCAACTGGCAAGGAACGAATGTACCATGTTGTCTATACTCGAATCATGGTGGCTCATCTCATATAAACCATTAGATCATGTGAATTCCATGCGAGGCTCACCCCATCCAACCAACGGCGGTTGCGAATTGAGTCAAATGATCCGAATTCAGGCAATAAATTTCCCTTGGATCTGCGGGGCAACGTTTCTTTCCAATCCCAACCCCCTTGTTTGGTACGAAATTCATGACTACGATGTTGCTGGAAAGGTGTGAACAAAAACTCGTTCTAGCTAAGGACAACCTTTATTCTAAATGATTGTTTCCAAGTGAGTTTCTTTTTTATATTTCTCATTGGGGGGCCGTAAGGGATTTTGTGATTATGCAGGTTTGATTTCGAATCATTGCTCTTGATACTTTTATTTGACTCGATGTCGCGAAATTACACAATGGTGCCATTAATCTATATTTACTCACTCACGATTTAACCACTAACTTCTAGCTGAAATTAAAGCCAAAAAAAAATTTGAAAAAGAAGAAAAAAAACACTTCCAGCCGAAAATGAGTGAGAACAATAAATGTAAACTTGCGATAATAAATACAATGGAAAAAAAAGAAACGCAAAAAGAATGAAGAAACAAGAAATCTTCCGGGGGTCTGCCTTGAATCCTTTGTGGTAGTTAGACATGGCCACGGGCCGGTTTTGGCCCGGAACCAGCTCAAGTCAAACCCGGGACCAGCCCGTTGACCGGGCCCGCTGTTCGGAACCGGCCCGGAATAGCCGGTTCCGAGCCCGGTTCCAAAAAAAAAAAAAAACTGCAGCAGGCCTAGGGCAGGCGGTCAAACAAGCATTTAGTGCCGGAGGTAATATTTTGGATGAACAACGTTCAAGATTAGTTCCGGAATCAGTGGAGGCTCAAGCTTGCGTCGATGATTGGACGAAGGCTCAATATCGACAACAAGAGATAGATCGGAATAATGAATTCGAATTCTTTGACGACGAAGATACCACCACTGCCGGTACCGGTACCAAAACGGGTAGCGACGACTGAGGGTAAAAGAACTACATGGATTTTGATTCTTCTATCCCCAAGAAGATATGTAAGGCGCTTAATGATAATTCATTAAGTTCAAGCCCCATCTCTTTCTCTCTTTTTTTCCCCAAATTTGATTACAATGTACATTTTGATTACATTTTATATTGAATAATTCATTATTTCATAATTTGATAATTCATTATTTTTTTATTTCATAATTTATTTTTTTAATTTTTACCGGCCGGTTCCAAACCGGGCTGGAACCTGAACCGGAACCGCCAGTTCCGAACCGTGGGCATGTCTAGTGGTAGTTACCAAGGGTACCTCACCAAAGTAGAGGAAATCTAAGCTTTTAACTGGGGTCGCCCTGCCTGTCTAAGTGCAAACTAAGGGTGTGCAAAGGAGCCGGGAATTGCCGGGACCAAACCGGAATTAGCGGTTCCTGGTTCCAATTTATTAGAAACGGTGAGTACCGGTATGGTTCCCGGTTCTAGCGTGGAACTACCCACCTGCCCACTGGATCGAATCGGTAATATATATAAATAATTTTGAAGAAAAATTTCCAACAAAAAAAAAAGAAAACATTTTAAGAAAAATGAAAACTAAGTGCTCGTCTCGTCTTACTCTCACTTTGTCTAATTCATTTTTTTATCTCCTATTCATGGTCTCGACTCTTAAGCTCATCGCCCGTTGACTTACGGCCTCGGCTCTCAACTCCCATTAACTCATGGCCACGCCTCCCACCGTTCATCGCCTCCCTCTCTCACTCTCGGTCACCTCCGTTTGCATGAAGATTGGTGGGACCGGTTCCATGGACCCACCTGGGAACTAGATCGGACTGGCAGTTCAGTTATCGGGTGGATCCATGGAATCAACGAGTGGTTCCGAGTTTCAATTTTTCGGAACCGGTCCTTAGTGGGCAGTTCCCGATTCTACGGTGGGAACTGCCCACTCAGACCATGCTCACCCATAGTGTAAACACTGAGCATGCCGATAAGAATGCATTTTTTATTTTAACGTACTAATGCTCTCACGTCCAATCCCTCAATTGGTGAGGATATTTTTCCCTCTCTCCAATGAATACCCCTGAATTTAACGTCTCAGAGTTCATACGAAGTAATTTAAGGACTTACTTAGGTAAAAAGCTCATGATAATAAATACAATAGAAAAAATGTTAATACCACGAAAAATCTCAAACTGATACCACACGTGATAAGTTTACTCTAAACTAATTTTTTTACCATAAAAAACTTCAAATTTGTACATCTGTGACAGATTTACATAAATTAACTTTTGACCATCAAAAACTCAAAATTAGTATATTTATGATAAATTTATTTTCCATTAAATTGGATTAAATCTCGAAAAACCATAAAATGGTTAAACGGCAAACTTGCTTGTCGACAAACTTTCACAAAATGGATTAAGGGGGTGTTTGGTTTAGCTTTGTGAAGGAGCTTTGAGCCTCGAAAGCCCCTTTCCAAAATCCTGGGGTGTTTGGTTCAGCTTTCATGCTAGCATTGGCCAAATGCTAGCATTTGGAATGCTACTGTTCACGTCTTTTTTTTTTTTTTTTTTTTTTGGTTTGAAGCTGTTCATCTTCTTCACCAGGCAGGGCGAGGACGGCCGGCGAGGGTGGCCGGCGAGGGAGAAGGGCCGCGCGAGGTCGCCTGGGACGGCGACCGCCCAGCGAGCGCCGCCGCCGCCCCGGGTCGCGCGACCCAGTGGCGAGGCCCGGGTCGAGCGACCCAGGGCCGTCGCCGCCGGGTCGTGCTACCCTGTGGCGGCGGCTGGGTCGCGCGACCCCGCCGAGGGTCGCCCGTCTCGGCGACCGCCGGCGGCGACAGATCTGGCTCGCCGGGGGTCGCCCGACCTCGAGCGACGGCCGCCGGCGCCAGATCTATCTCGCCGGCTCCGACGATGGGTAGGTTAGTTTTTTTTTTTAATAAATAAGATAATTCTCAAAGTCCATTTGCAAAAAAAATTCACCAAACACTATATTTTGGCAAAAGTAGCTTTACAAAATATTTTTACCAAACACCATTTGCATTTTCCCAACAGGCTTTCACCCAAAGATATTTATATTCTCCCAAGTAGCATTTTCAAAGTTGAACCAAACAGGTCCTAAATCACGCTAAACGGCGCGTCGTGGATGACGACAAACTTGCTTGGTGTGGAAGCGAACGACACGCGCTGCCTCGCTTCCTTCCCCGCGACGCGGTGTCTCTCCTAATCAACGAATCTTCAATCCAATCAAAATTCCCAAATTCATCCCGCCATTTTCCAGCGAAATCCCCAAACTCTCCCCCGCCACCCTCCCCTTTCGCCCCGAACGTCCGCCGGGACAAGACCGTCAATCCGTCGAGCGAATTTCAAAAAGGAAATCTAAATTGTTCCTTTTGAAAAAATTGCCAAGACCCCCCCCCCCCCCCCGTAATTCTTTAAAACTCAGACCACCACCACCACCGTCGTCGTCGTCGTCGTCGCCGCCGCCGCCGCCGCCGCCTCCATGGCCACTCTCTCCGCCGTCTCCTCCCCTCCGTGGCCGAATCACCCTCGGCCGGCCCCCAATTCCGACGACTTCATCCCCCAACCCGACCCCTCCGATCTCTCCCAGACCGTAGATTCCCTCTCTCTGATCCCCGACGGCGACGACCCCCACCGCCGGAACCCTAGCCCCGACCCCGCCTCCGCCCCGGCCAATCCCGCCCCCTCTCCGGCCGACCCGCCCGCCCCTCCTCCCAAGCTCCTCCACCTCTCCTTCAACCAGGACCACACCTGCTTCGCCGTCGGCACCAGCCACGGCTTCCGCATCTACAACTGCGAGCCGTTCCGCGAGATCTTCCGCCGCGACTTCGGTGCGGGCGGCGGCATCGGAGTGGCGGAGATGCTCTTCCGCTGCAACATCCTCGCCCTCGTCGGCGGTGGGCCGGCCCCTCAGTACGCGCCCACCAAGGTCATGATCTGGGACGACCACCAGTCGCGGTGCATAGGCGACCTCACGTTCCGGGCCGAGGTGCGGTCGGTGCGGCTGCGGCGGGACCGGATAGTGGTGGTCCTGGAGCAGACGGTGTTCGTGTACAACTTCGCGGACATGAAGCTGTTGCACCAGATTGAGACGATCGCCAACCCCAAGGGGCTCTGCGTCGTGTCACAGACCGCAGGGTCGCTCGTGCTGGTCTGCCCGGGGCTCCAGAAGGGGCAGGTCAGGATCGAGCATTACGCCTCGAAGAGGACCAAATTCATCATGGCGCACGATTCACGGATCGCGTGCTTCGCGCTCTCTCAGGACGGCAAGTTCCTGGCTACGGCAAGCACGAAAGGGACTCTCATCAGGGTCTTTAATGCGGTTGATGGCACTCTGTTGAAGGAGGTCAGTTGACTTGATTGAGGAATTAGTCTATTTGGAACTGGAATGTGGCTTGTGCATTTAATTTCAGCTGAATTGAGGTGCCCAATGCCCTTTGTTGAGCTGAGAAACGAGTGAGTTGGAAGAACATTTGAATTGTCAAATGACCTACTCCTGTTAGGAGAAAATATTACAGCAAAAGATGGGTTTGAAATCTGGAAAATGACTTTGATGAATAAAACTATTAGACAGTGTCATGACCAATTGTATCGGGGTTATGCGGTGAGTAGTGTTTTGTTTTGTAGGAGCTGGTTACTTGTAAATAACATCTACCATATTGTGTAAACGTTTATTTGTAGTTGTATTTGCTTGATTTGGTTGGACTACGTTATGTAACTCATAGTTCCATTAGTCTCATACTGTTGCAAATGCCAATTATAGTTTATTATCGTCAATCCTGTTCCGTGTGGATGATTTTATCCTGGACCTTTTTATTTGATAGTTAGGTTGGAACATTTGGTTTTATGATGCTGACTGGTAAGTTACATCAGTTTTGCGTCCACCATGTTAAGACACCTTGAGTATTCTGGCAAATCAGTTGTTGCTGGTAAGATGTAGTGTTACATATGTGCTGTTCCTACCATTGACAGCCATGTACTGTAGTTGATCTCCATTTGTTTCCCTTACGAGCAGTTGGCTCTAGGTTCAGTCCTTGTTATGTCTTATATCGCGTTGGTCAAATTAAAGAATCTTCAGTTGCATTTAGAAAGTTTCCGTTGGCTCAATATTTTGAATCATGGACCAATCCATATGGAAGTTTAGTGTGTGAAGCCTCTGGACTCCTTTTCAAAGCTTTTTGCATTATAGAAAAAGGTGAACATTTTTGACACAATTGCACTTGTTGGCAATTTCATTTTGGCCGTCACTTGTGGGCATTTCACAGAGAGAAACTGGGTTGATGTTGTGACTGCTAATTTTAATTTTCTTTGAGTTAGCTTCTGGATTTTGATGCTTTGTGTATGACAGCGTAATTTGTCTAAGTCGTCCTAGTATGGTTTCCATCCAGCATCAAAATTTTCATAATGCTGACAATTCATTATATCGAGATATAAACTTATATTCATATAACATGTTCTGTTGGGCTTCTTTTACATTTTTCTGAGTTAGTTTGATTATTCTTCTGAAAGATTTGAATGAATACCGTTGTAATTAATTTTTGTCATGATTCTGAAACATATTGATGATTCCAATCAACAAAAACATATGCAGATGAGAAGAGGTGCAGATAGAGCGGAAATCTATAGCTTGGCTTTCTCATCAACTGCACAGTGGCTAGCAGTTTCAAGTGACAAGGGTACTGTCCATGTTTTTGGCCTTAAAGTCAACTCAGGATCCACAGGCAATGATGCTTCTGGAAGTGCATCCGATTCTAGTTCTGCTGTTATATCGTCAAATTCATCTCTCTCGTTTATCAGAGGTAAAATGCCTCCTGTTGACAACCAACCTGTGTGCTATCACTAAGTTTTAATTTCATGGTGAATAATCAAGCAAATTGCTACTTTTTCATTTCTGATGGTTTTGGATGTTCATATAGCATTCTTGATAAATATGTTTGAGCCGAACTAGTGAAACTTGTCCTCCAGAAGATGCCGACACAATTTATCGATGATCATCATACTTGCAATCTGCTTTGCTCTTGCTTCAACATAGATTGTTGTTGAATGTCTTCTGATGCAGAAATAATTGACATTCTATCACCTTTCTAGGGTCATGGATGTCATAGAAACTTTGATATTGCCAGAGAATTACTTGCAATAAGTTGGCTTAACTTTGATGCTATTTTAGGATATGTTTTCGCTGCTGATGTTTCTTGCTAAGGTTTATGTAAAAATGAAATTCAATCAATACATCCCATGTGTCACGACATGGAGCAAAAAGATGCTCCTCATTTACAGCATAATGAAGATTCTCTCAGGCTCAGCTTGTGCTGGAAAGCATAAAAGCATTTTAGATACTCAATTCACCTGCAGGCTTAAATCTAGTTGTCATCTGGAGGACTCTGACCAAATAGAATGGAACTATGAGATATACCATATATGGTCTCAACCCATCATTTCTGTATATCCTGAGAGTCTTCAGTAAACAGCAATGTGTAGTTTTGAGAGCCGTAGGTATAGTGTATTAGGCAATCGGATTAGTGTCATGTCTTTGTTCGTCTACTAATAATAACTTTGCTTCTTACTGCATTTCAACCGAGTTAGTTTTAAATGTGAATTTTCTTGTGCAGGAGTTTTGCCTAAATATTTCAGCTCAGAGTGGTCTGTGGCTCAGTATCACTTGCGTGAAGGGTCTCCATATATTGTTGCTTTCGGTCACGAGAAGAACACAGTTGTCATTCTTGGAATGGATGGAAGGTATTTCCATATTACTGTATAATCTACAGCCTTGCATGAAGAGATGTCATATATTGAGGAAAAGGTCTGCGCGTTTGGTTTTGATCTCCATGTTCGTACCCCAGTTTGTAGCTTTTCCTCTCTCTGGTGCCGCTTTCTATTGAAAAGTGGCAAAGCGCTGCTAGATGACATTTAGCATACGACTACCTACTTTCTTTCATCCATCATCATCATCTCTCTCTGTCTCACTCTCTCTCTGAACTTTATGTGTAAGGCCATATATGGAATTGGCTCTTAATCAACCTTGGGCTGAATTTGTTTGCAGCTTTTATCGATGTCAATTTGATCAAGTAACTGGTGGAGAGATGACCCAGCTGGAGTACCACAACTTTCTGGAATCCCAAGCCTCGTGATGACTCCTTCCCGCACTTTTTCTCTGCTCTATATCGTGTAAGTTTTTTAATGTCCCTATATAGAACTTTCTTGTACCTTATGTAGATTCCACAGTATTGTGTAAAGTTGGCATGTGATCTCCCTTTGTCCGGAGAGAAACGATGTAAAGACCGAAAAAAGAAAAAAAAAAAAAAAAAAAAAAGAAGTGCGACGCATCCTCGATTTCTTCCCTACTCAAGCAATTCCGGCTGAACAATACGAAACAATACCGTAATCATCCGCAACATCGTCGCCCAATTCCGAAGAACATTAGTTCCTGGGGCTTGTGTCGAAGTTGATTCTTTGAAGTGCTCGCGAACAAAAGGAAGAGCAGGATTTGCGAAATCTGCATACCCTCCCCCTTTTGACGTGCGAAAGGTGGACACATGCAGGGGACAGATGCGTACTGGGTTTTGAATTATGGATTTGCTTTTGAATTATTCAGAAAGATGCCCGCCGACATCTTTTGTCGTCCTGAGCACATGTGGTTCAAGCTTAGCAATTTGAAAGATAGGGAGATTCAGAAAGTCGCTCCTCCTCGAGCATTTTCTTCGATTTCATTTAACTATCTACAAGACTTTTTAGACCAGCTTTCAATCTAGGATCCCCGCGAATCGAATCGTGCGGACATATGTTATTGAGGGTCTACGGGTCTAGTCTAGTAACGATTTCGTGTTGGAATGGAGCCCCTAGGCTTGCTACATCTACAAGGGACTCAGGGGACCATCCCTCCTACCTGTCGCCCCTGGTAACTAAGAGCGAGTGAATTCAATCTTTCCCCAGTCTTTACATTGATGAGGACAGTTCGTTTTGACTATGGTTAAAATTGCGATCTTCGTCGCCCAACCACCCTCGAATGTACTCGCGAGCAATCGGAGAATCGGTGTTGCTGCCGACAAAACGACTCTGTCGAGATCTTCTTCGCTCGACTAAAACTACTCTAACCGACCAAAAAAAAAAAGACTAAAACTACTCTTCTTTTCTTTTTACTCCACATTTCAAAGCCCCGTTTCATTTTTCTTACTTCAATTTTTTTTGGCCCAAGAAAAGGTACCCTTTCAATGTGTGTGTATATATATATATAAAGAAGGGCCTGATTCCTTTAAAAATCCCCCAACTTTAGGTTAAATCCCAAATCTATCCCGAACTCTGTTTTGTCTTAAAAAAAACTCAAAACTTTAGATTCAGTCCTAAATCTGCCCCAAACTTTTTTTTGTCTAAAAAAAATCTCCAAACTTTAAGTCCAATTCTAAATCTGTCTCAAATTTTACTTTGTGTAAAACAAAATTACCAAAATTCAATTTATTTTCAAAAATATACTTCTGTGATCCAGTTTTAACTTAACATGACACTTCCATATCGATAACAAATCCATAGCAACAAAGTAATGTGGCTTTTTTTTAGACAATGAAAAGTTCGGGGAAAATTTGGATTGAACCTAAAAATTGGATTTTTTTTAAATTAAAAAAAATTAGGGTGGATTTGTTATCGTCCCTAACTTTCATATCCTAGAACGGTTTTATTTTGGAGAATTTCAACAATTTTTATTGGGTTTGATTTGTTATCGAAGTGGAAATGTCACATCGGTCTGTACCTATTACCACATTACTTTGTTAATGTGGATTTGTTATCGAGGCGGTGAGAGGATCTGGAGTATATTTTTTGAAAATAAATTGAAATTTGCGATCTTTTTACACAAAACAAAATTTGGGGCAAATTTGAAACTAAACTTAAAGTTTGGATTTTTTTTAGACAAAAAAATGTTCGGGTCAGATTTGGGACTAGTTCAAAATTTGGGATTTTTTTCGAGATAAAAAAAAAATTTAGATAAATTTGAAACTTGATCTAAAGTTGGGATTTTTTAGGGAATTCACCCTAAGAAGAGGGCAAACTATAAAAAAATCCGAGGGTTCATTCGGACACGTCCCATGCCATGCACAAAGACCCTGCAGCTGTATTACGTGACGTTACATATCGCAGACGTGGGTGTCGTGTACGCATTCTGAGGCAAAGGCGATGTCGGATCTCAAAGACGATTCGTGAAAGTCTCTAAAAACATCAGATCGCTGCACTGAAATTTGTGGTTTGATTTGACCGATTGTTATTTACTCGCCCTTCTGTAGAAAAACACAAAACGAGAAAAAAAAAATTTGTTACGATTAAATTATGCAGCGGACAGCCTCGGCTCCCTCCATCAATCGAGACTCTGAAAATTATCTCCTTGCCCGAGAAAAATTGAAGTACGAAAAAAGAAAAAAGAAAAATAGAGGAAATTATTTACCAAAAAGAGTGGGCCAACATCTTTATTTTCCTATTAAACAATGAACGGTCTATCTAACTTAGGAAGGACGCCGGCCCACATGATAGGTTGATGTCAGAAACTGCATCGACAAACCAAAGGCTTCATTAGCAACCTAGTTAAAGTTAATCCCCAGAACTTAATTACTATTAATACAATCATAAGAGTTTCACATGTAAAACTTTGCGCTCGCGGCCTCGGAAATTCTATACCCTCCAATATTTCGTGGTCGAAATAAGTAACATGAAATTTTTTTGATACGTATAATTTGATAAAGCGGTTACTCATATGAGCTCTTATCTTTTAACTATAGAGATCAACACGAGGCATTCGCTGGTTCAGGTTGGTCAGGTCTCTCTAATGCGAGCGATGCGGAGTCCCCCTTTATGGGTCTTCGAAGACACCTTGATGGCGTCTTTCAAGGAGCGCAACAAGCACGAACACCGACGGGGGAGCTAGGGTTAATAACTTAGTGAGCAAACTCAATTTGTGAAGTAATTACGACTACATATATATACTTACATGGTTAAATTTTAATCTCGTACGAGGGACAGTTTCTCTAGTAAGAAATAAACAAAAAGATCGGAATCAAATTAATGGAACAATCTAGACCTGTTATAGGCTGGGTTGTTATATGGATTAGTTATATGCAATAAATGGATTTAGACCCAACTCAATGGGTCATAAATGGGTATTAAATAGATTCACAACTTATTTAGACCCAACCCACCTCTATGACTCTCTCTCGCCCTCACTCGATCTCAGACTCTCTCACTCTATGCTTTCACTTTAATTTGGGTATGAATTTTCCTAAATTGGGTTAAATATATAAGTGCTTTAGTAATATGGGCGGATCGGATACGAGTCACTAGATTTGTATTACACGGAAATGAGTCAAAATGGGTTCAATTGGTCAATTTAGATCAGATCATTTTTTACTCGATCCACCCGTTTGATAGGTAAAGAACAATCTCTTCGAGTCAATGCATATGGCGATGGGAGGCTAATCTACATTTAACAGCTCCATTAAAGACCAAGCTTAGACGAAACCACAAGTCAACTAGCTTAAACCCTAGAAAAGAAAAGGAACCAATCGTGATTATTTGTAGTTATACTTTTGTCCATCGCTGCATTGGTAGTGCCATTAGTTCTCTGGGTCTGACGGTCATTAACTTTCACGGTCTTTGACCGTTCCATGAGCAAATCGACCCCATTCACCAACTATAGAGATCAAGGGCCGCATGAAGGCCTTTTTTATATTGGGATTGTGCTCTTAATCCAAGGTAGATTATGAATTCCGAAGTTCCATCCGAGCATTGGGATTCAGAGCGAAGCATGTGATGGACTGAAATTGAAACTGCGCTGTATACTTTAATAATTTCCATATCTGTGAAATTCAAAAGCTACATATATATTATAAGCTTGCCAAACAAATATTAAAGAAAAAGACTGTACCATATGATATAAGTGGTCCTCCAAAAAGTTTTGCATTCTAAATTAATGCTTCGTAATTAGCGAACGGCGCAGGCATAAAGAAAGAGGATTATTCAGAAACTTGGACCTCCAAGTTTTGATTAACCCAATGGGAACCGGTTGAAGCACCAGAACTTGCTGACCACGAGTCCAATAATTCACTATTTAATCTCTTGTCTTCGTCAGGGGAAAAATTCCACAGTCTCCCTTTTCATGCCTTCTTTCTTGACTTTGTTTCGTTGCGTAGCTTTCGTGTGATTCGACCATACATTTTTGTTGTCGCGGGAGAAGATCAACATGTTGTTAAAAGAGAAAAGGAAAAAAAAGGACAAGCAAGCTAGAGATTGCTCCGAAAGCAACATGCTTTTGTAAAACGGAAAAATTAACACAGTGATGTAAATTCGATTCTAAACTTTTTGATTTGCCTATGTAGTTTTAAATATTTGCGTGGAATTCCAATACAGTTCTTCCAATCAATTACCGTCAGCAATCGTTAACGTGACGAATCACAAGCTGTCCACATCAACATGCCATATAGGAGGGTCAGCGATGACGGGAAGCCACGTCAGCGATATGCGACGGTAATTGATGGGAAGGACTACACTAAAATTTTGTGCAAAACTTGCCAATGGAACCAGTTGAAGCAATTGAAGCACGGAACCGGCTGAAGCAAAACTTGCAAATGGAACCATCAAGTTTTGATTAACCCAACGGAACTGGTTGAAGCACCAGAACTTGCTGACCACGAGTCCAATAATTTACTATTTAATCTCTCGTCTTTTTCGAAGGGAAAAATTCCACCGTATCCCTTTTCACGCCTTCTTTTTACTTTGTTTCCCTATGTGGCTTTCGTGTAATTGACCAAACATTATAGTTGCTGCAGTAGAAGCTAAACATGTTGTTAAAAAAAGAAAGACAAAAAAAAAGGACAAGAAAAATGAAACTAAAGATTGCTTAGAAAGCAACATGCTTTCGTAAATATAGAAAAATTAACGATTGAGTCCTAAACTTACTATTGTGATGTCAATCCAGTTTTAAATTTTTTAATTTTGTTAATATAGTCATAAATCTTTATATGAAACTCCAATATAGCCCTTCCGGCTAACGCGTTGATCCACAAGTTGTCAACGTCAACTTGCCACAGAGGAGGGTCGTCTATGACAAGAAGCCACGTTGAGAAAGACGCTTTCGATTCACAATAAAAATCAACTCTAATTGCATTCCGAGATGCAAAATTCTATGTTTAATCGATAGTACTTTCTAAGTCCACGAAAAGTTTAGGATTGAAATCGTATCTGCACAATAAGATTGTGACTAATTGGGTAACCACCCCTTCGTAAACATCTTGTGCTAATCTACTCACTCTTATGAGCTCTTTCACACCTCTTGACAGTTAAGCAGAAGGATCCCTAGTTGGCTGTTTTTCAAAAATAAGAAAAGAAGTGGGACTCTTTTGTGAAAAACGACAAAAATGGGTACTTCAGTTTCGAATAAAGATAATTCATCAAGAACGTTGGCCTAATTCAAAGAAAAAAACACAAACTTTAGGTCGGATGACAATTTTGATCCTAACTTTTTTTTGTCTCGTAAAAAAGCATAAATTTTCACTTAAATCTCAAATCTGACCCCCATTGACTTAGAACCACTAATTATTCAACTTGACTATTCCACCTCAGCAATAATTTCACGTGGCTTGCTGACTGGATTTAAAGTAATATTAATTGTTTTATTTTCTGAGCCATAGCTTGAAAAATAACGGTGAAATTGTTCGTATCCTTCACTTCACCGGCAAGTAAAAAAATCTCCAGATTGAATCTCTCTGGCCATACTTCATCATTTTGTCTTAATTTGAATCTGTAAACCACAGTCCGTCGACAGACACCATGGACGAGATCTGCCAAGCTCACCACCATAACCTTTTTTTTTTCTCAAATAAGGGTTCCTTCATATAGAGAGTCAATCGAGGGGCCAGATTTGGGATAAGAGTGAAAGTTGGCGATTTTTTATGAGACGAAAAAAAGTTGGGCCTAGAATTGTCACTCGACCTAAAGTTGGTGCTTTTTTACGAGACAAAAAAAAGTTGGGGCCAAAATTATCTCTCGACCTAAAGTTGTTGCTTTTTTTTTTTGGAATCAACCCCAAAAACATCTACATGGCGCAAACTGCAAAATGGGGGTTGGGGTTTTAGGGAAAACGAAAGGGCAAAGTTGTAAATTTGAACTCTAATTTGGGCAAGTGCCAAAAATTCATTAAGCCTGGGTAGTTCCTGATTCAATTTTTCAGAACAGGTCCTTAGTGGGCGGATCTCGATTTCATGGTAAGAACCGCTCACCCGGACCATGCTTACCTCTGCTAATCTCCATTAGAGAGACCAAGAGTAATTTGTGAAGCCATCACTTTCATCATCATCATCGCATTGAGTGGTAGGTTTAAAAACAACATGCAACTCCTATCTACCAAACCCTCTCTCTCCGCCCACTTATTTTCCATCTAACTTAATGAACCTATTAAATATCATGGGGTTTGTCAATCACTTCTAGTCTAGAAAATAAGCTCAAGACAAGGCAAAGGCCGTACTCGCTTTCGGGCCCGCTTTCGGTCTGCCCACCAATGAGAACAGCAAACAAATAAATTATTTTCTGACCAATAATACAAATGTACCCCGAACTTTTTAATTTGCTTGATGCGATCCTTGAACCGTTGGTAAAATATCCAATGCAGTCATTCCGTTTGCTATTTTTATTTATTGCCAAGCGAAACAAAGCTAATATCAGTTTATATGGAAACTTTGGTGTACCCATATGCGTGCCATTCATCCGATAAACCCAGAAGAAACATCTGTAAGTTGAGTTTCGACGAAGCATACATTATGTAAAAAGGAAGGACGACGATCGGTCCAATCCTTGTCACAGTCAGAAAGTTTTCGGTACGAAATACAATGCTGCATGTGTGCACTGTGAAAAGTCCAGCTCTTCACATGCACCATGTCTGTGTAGTTAGCGTCTATGCGGCACTCAGAATCCAACCACTCCCCCCAAAGACTTTTTCACGTGTACAAAAGGGCTCCTCGCCCTCTTCGTTCTTCACCCTTCTTCATACTCTTCGCTCTGAAATCTCCCTCCCTCCCTCTCTCCCTCTCTCTCTCTCTCTAGCGAAGTGTGAGAAATGGGAGTGAAGCTGTATGGACACCCGATGTCGTCGTGCACGTTGAGGGTGATGGCGTGCCTCTACGAGAAAGGGGTCGATTTCGAGCTCGTCCCGGTCAACATGTTCGCCGGCGAGCAGAAGATGCCGGATTTCCTCGCCAAGAATGTACAGAAAAAAGACTTGGCCATTCCTATCGACTCTCTTACTGTGCTGTTGTTCAGTGTGTATGACCTCTTTTCTGGGTTGTTTCTGTTAATCATTGCTCTTCTTCTACTTTGATTGCAGCCTTTCGGGAAGGTTCCGGTCCTAGAAGATGGCGATCTTACCATTTTCGGTCAGTTTTTCATGCTCATGTTCATTGTATAGAATGCTTTGACAACCCTCTCTCATTTCTCTTGTTTTCTGGAATATGAAATGATGGTATCAGAATCAAGAGCAATCACGGAGTACATATCCAAGAAGTACAAATCCCCCGGCACCGAAGACCTCCTCCGCTCCGACAGCCCCGAAGAGTCCGTCACCGTCCGCGTCTGGGTCGAGGTGGAGTCCCACCACTTCCAGCCGGTGATGTCGCCGATCATCTTCCAGCACTTCGTGGTCCCGCTCCAGGGCAAGGTGCCGGACCAGGCCCTCATCGACGACCACCTCGCGAAGCTCGCCGGGGTCCTCGACGTGTACGAGGCGAGGCTGGCCAAGACCAAGTTCCTCGCCGGCGACTTCTTCTCCCTCGCCGACCTCCACCACTTCCCCTACATGTACTACTTCATGAAGACGCCGTGGGCTGCGGCGGTCACCGACCGCCCCCGCGTGAAGGCGTGGTGGGAGGAGATGTCCGGGCGGGCGGCGTTCAAGAAGGTGGACGAGGGCATGAAGTTTGGTGAGGATAAGAAGTGAGTGAAGCGAAGCGGAAAAGACCAAAAGAAAAATGAATGTCGTGCGAATGTTTTGCTTTTGATTCAGTGTTAGTGTAGTGCGCGTTCTGCGTGAATTGTGATGGGGGTTCATAGGCTAGTCAGAAGGTGTTTTGTCTGCTGAACTATTGCGAAATCCATTTTCTAGCGAAGTCTATCTCTTAACGACCACGATCAAGCTTTGCAAACGTCGGTCGCCAAAACTGACCTAGGGCAACCCTCTCAAATCTCAATCCCTTTCCGCAACAAGAACATGAAAATTTGGTCGCTAGAACTTCTCACGGCCAAAACTTTGGTGGCCAGAAGATGTAGCGACTACATATCGACTTCTCGCGATCTAGAGACCATTTTCTTATTTCTGTTACGATTTGTGGGTCGCAAACTCCCACTGCTCGCTCGCATAGAAGGCCACCTGATCAGAGATGCCACGGACACGACATGCACATGCGTACAAAGACATTGAGAACCGCGATGAAAGGGCGACGTCGGTGGCGGCAGTTGTAGGCGCGTCGATGAGGGTTAGCCGCAGCAGCAGCACTTCGCTGCGGTGTTATCGGAAAGAAGACGACGGCGAAAAGAGCAAAAGACGAAAGGGAACAAGAAGAAGAAGAAGAAGAAGAAGAAGAGTACATCATAGCGGCTGTCGAAATCAAATGCGTTGCGTTGATATGTCATTCTCTCAACGAAAGTAAATAAGACCATGCCGACAAATCCCCCAGTCAGAAAAAATGCACACAACCCTTCCGTTCCACCCCAAGTCATCTCTCAAGTCATCATCTCTCTCGGTCGCTCTCTCTCTCTCTCTCACTCTGTCTCTGTCCATCTCTTTGTCTCTGTTAGGTGCCATGGCCGCATTATCAGCTGCAAAGCTTTATACTTGCAAAGTCACAGAAAGCAACAGTTCAGTTGACCGTACTAGTGAAAAACAGGGAAAAAGAAGATCAGGAAAAAACGGGAAAAATCTGTATGTGCAGCAGCAAACTTTGCGCTGCACGTGTTATACTGCTTGCCAGTCAAAGCTGCAGAACAGCAATTGAAAATCTTCTGATCATTTCACTTGAAGATCAATTTTCACACGTTGAAAAGAACTAAACAGGGAAAATATGATAAATGATACATGAATTTTGGGCCGACGTGCAATGTGATCCCTGACCTTTTAATTTGTTCAATATGATGATTGAATAATTGATAAACATCCGATATAATCCTTTCAGTTGTTCAAACAACTAATCAGACGTTATTTGATGACGTGAATTATTATATCAAGAGTTGGGTTTTTGAAAACCGCGAGTCAACATATCCATTTCTTCATCCATTAGCTTTATAAAACTTATAAAAAAAAAATTAAGGTGCTAACACGTCCAAACACGTCCATCGTTATTGGATCATTATATCCTAGACTAAGATGAATGTCTAGTGTGAATAATTCGCGTGTAACTTTTCTTTTGCCCACCATTCAAACTCTATATATTGGAAGTCACGTTATTAGATTTCGTTAAACTTGAATTAATGACAAGATGACATTTAATATTGTTATATATTTTAGGGATCAGATTGGGCGTTTATCAATATTTCATTGACCACATTGAACAAATTAAAAGTTTTAAGACGACATTACACATTAAACCGAAGTTCATAGATCATTTGAGTCATTTTTCCGACTAAGAACTAGTTTTTCTCTTTTCAATTGATCCGCAAAGTTATTTTTACAATTGCTTATGGGAAAATGGAAAAGAGAAATTTATAATCCTTTTCTGCAAAAATCACGTGACGGTCCATTTCGTTTTTATAATCCGACAGATGCATATGGAGGGAAAGACATGTGATGTGGGGTTTCCCTTTTGGAACCTGTTTGTTTCCCACATTTTAGAAAGTGATTGTCGACTTTCGCATGAAAATAAGAGAAAAAAGTTTGCCTTAAAATAATGTAATTTATTTTAATCATTTTTCGACCAAAAAAAATAAAATAATGTAGTCATTCTCACCAAAGCCGGATCGAATCTGGCCGTCTCGTGGCCATGGCCGGCGCCGCGCCTAGATCCGAGCTCGCGGCCACGGCCCGAATCCCGGCGTCTCACGGCGAGGGGAGCGGTGGACGGCGGCGGTGGAGAGGCGAGTCAGATTGGAGCGAAGGCCATGGCGCGGCGGACGGCGGACGGCGACGTCGGACGGCGGTGTGTGGTGAAGGGGAGGCCGCTAGGCCCATTACTGCTTATATCTGTACCCGCAGGGCCCAAGTACGGCCCGGCCCATTTCCAATCTCTCACTCTCTTTACCAAACGACCTCAGCCGGCCAGAGCAGAGCAACGGAGAAAACCCCCCCACCCAGCGACGGCGCCGGCGAGCCCTCGCGACCAGGTTCGTCGTCTCCCCGCGACGCCACCGGCAGCGCCGGCCGCCACCAGTTTCGTGCCTACCCGTCTCCCTTGGCCGCGCTGGCGCGTCCACCGCCGTCGCTGTCGGCGAATTTGAATGCGTGGCCCGAGTCTTCTCCTTCGAGACCTTTGAACTTACGGGTGATTCTGATTCCTTTTGCTTTGTTTTCCCCTTTTTTCCTGGTTTGGTTGTATCCGATTCAGATACGCTTTGTAATCCCTCATACCTTGCAGTTTCCAGCTTAACATTAGGAAAAAAGATCGTCCCTTTGATAGTTTGAGATACTGTGGGAGCGAAACCCCCGAAGATTTGATGTTGGTTTTGCAAAATTCTGTTTAGAATGCGAAAATTTTGTTGATGCCTTCTCGGTTAACGATAACTTGTTGTTTTCTTGGTTGAATTTGACACATAAGTTGGAGATAAATGTCCTGCTCTTTTGACAGAAATTCGATGACCACGTTCAGATCACGTTCAGAGAGCCAAAAAGTTTTCTGATTTTGCTTTGATTTTGGGACTTTGAAGTAATTGGTGAATATACTGAAGAAATTGAAGATATCGCGAGAATCGTCCGTGGAAATTTAGAGAGCAATGAGTAATTTAGACTCCAGATGCTGCTCAAATATGAGTTTTGAAGCTGTAATTGAAGCAGCTCAAGTTAGCACTGTTAACATCCTTTGTTTATTTTTTTTTTCACCCATTATAACATAGCGCGGTTGCGGTGAAATGAGCTATGTCCGTGTTCTCGCTACCACATCATGGCAGCTCCTATTTCTGCTATTATCCCGCATTTAAGTCTGTGTGTCTGCGTTATATTGGTCTGCTGATTGCCAAGAAATATACGGAAAATCAAAGCTTTTTGGTTTAGATGAATGTGCAAAAAAATGCTATGTTGATGATTCTTATCAAAAGTCGTATTCAATGTTTATCTTTGCTGACCTAACTGACTTGTTTTTTCTGAGATTAATTGTATGTAGAGATTGTACCATTTAAGGTTTACATGTAGATGTTGATTTTGGTAATGAAGCGAGAATGACGGATATACCTTTTTTTCTGGTTTATAGTAGACAGATCGCGTCCGCACTTTTCAGAGTGTTTGACCTGATAACTAGAAGTAAAACAAGAAGAATGAGGATAGTCGGTCTGACTGGTGGAATTGCATCAGGGAAGAGTACAGTCTCCAACCATTTCAAGGCCCATGGTATCCCTGTCGTTGATGCCGACATTGTTGCTCGTGTATGTTTTCCTTGATATTGCTTAAGTTATGATTATTGGTCCTATTGATTTTTTTGCCTAGTTACGATTCACTTTATATTCCTCAAGAATGTTCCCTTATTCTGGTCTGTTACAATCAATGATCTTTGAAAAGGATGTTTTGAGAGTTTTCCTGAAGTTGAGGACTGTAAATCAATCACGATATGTACATCAAATTCTGTCTAGAAATATGACGGCAAGGGGATGGTAGATGGTTTATTTTATATTCATCGGGTATGTTTCCTATCAATTTCTTTCCTTTTTTAAGAGATATATGAATAACAAGGAGACGTTCTAGAAGTTGGAATCTCCAACAAGGAGAAACATTGTGCAAATTTTGAGAATGCTATTCTTTGAAAGATCTCACTTTCTCGTTTGACTGGTTAAATGATTCTTTTGTTGTTGGCTAAGCAGTTTCCGTGTAAAGGAGCTTTGCATTTTGTTTTTCAGTGTCTCTCCTACTCTAAGCTTCCATAAATATCTGTATACTGATGATTTATGAGACGATAGAGTATGGCAACCTTAAACTGTGTCATGTAAAAACACGCAGATAGTTTCACTTAAGAGTACATGTGAAATACTGCAGGGAGTTGTTCTTGTTCTAGCAAGTTTCAATGATTGTGTGGCTCCATGTAGTGAGGATGGCATCTTGCCACTTGACAGGACTTGAAGAGTATATTTTCCTTCTTGGAATTCTTAAATTCCTTGTTGTGCTTGCAGGATGCATTAAAGAAAGGGACTGGTGGATGGAAAAAAGTTGTTGCTGCATTTGGGGAGGAGATTCTACAAGCTAATGGAGAAGTTGATAGGCCAAAGTTGGGCCAAATTGTCTTTTCTGATCCTGCAAAGCGTCAAGTTTTGAATAGGTAATGGTGAATCTGAACTAAACCTGCAGTACTAGTTCTAGCTTCAAAATGGCGATCAAAGCATGCTGGACACAACAGCAAATTTTGCCTTTCATAAGTACAGATGCATAAGTTTCTGCTTGACTAGGAAGATTTCTTGCTCTGATGAAACAGGGGGCAAATTCTAATTTTTAGTTCGTTTACACCTGCCATGGATGTAGTTGCTGTCTGTAATTTGTGATATCAGTCTGAAATTTTTTCACCTTTGAGTTCTGAATTGTCTTGGTCATAGCTGAGTTATTCATTCTGAAGCCAGTAGCCATGTGCTTTTACTGACGCACCTTGGATTTTCTCATGTTTGTTTGAATGATGCATTAACAGTTGCATAGATCTTCAAGATAAGAAATCTTCCAATCTTCTAATTTCCTGAAGCTTTCTGTGCTTACTTATGTTTAGGCTGCTGTCTCCTTACATATCATCTGGCATCTTCCGAGAAATTTTGAAACTTTGGTTGAAAGGACATAAGGTTATTGTCCTTGACATCCCTTTATTGTTTGAGGCAAAGATGGATAAGTGGACAAAGCCCATTGTTGTTGTCTGGGTCGATCCAGAAACTCAGCTTCAACGGCTTATGGCAAGAGACAGAACAAACGAGGAAGATGCTAGGAACAGGATAAATGCTCAGATGCTGTTGGATTTGAAAAGGTCTAAGGCAGACATAGTAATTGACAACACTGGATCATTAGAGGACTTAAATGAGCAGTTCCGGAAGGCTCTGTTCCAAGTCACAAGGCCCTTGACATGGACAGAATTTGCACTTTCTAGACAAGGAGCTTTGTTGGCTCTTTTCTCGATCACCATCGGTGTTCTGGCATTCAGAAAAGCATCCTTGTAAAGGTGATTGCTGTTCAAGCTACAATACAATGTCCAATTCGTCAATCGCTATTTAATATCAGAAATTTGTTGCAAATGTTTTTAGTGCTAAAGCAAATAACTCAATAATAAAATGACGCATTTACAGTTAAACTTTTTCAGGAGTTCCCATCAGTCTTGCTTCTCCTTATGTTTGATGATATCTCATCTTCATTATGAACAGGATGCACATGTTATCTGTGAGTACATCAGCATACACACATTAATATGCAGATATATTGGACTAATATCTGATAGTTCTCGCGACTTGCGTATTATTGTCCAGTGAGTTTCTTGTCAGGAAATAATCACAGACATAGCTCATAAATATAAACACTGTTGCGTCTGATCAATCTACTCAAGTTTACATCTCCATTTTGTTCACAAGTTTCACTTGTTGCTGGATCCTATTACTGAACTCATAGATTTGTGTCAATCCCTTGAGTGGGCATATCATTACTTGATTTGTGTTCTGTTGGAGGTACTGATTAAGTCACCATGAATGTTGCGGCTCCAAACCTCTCACAGATTGATGGCTTTATCTACTAGGCGTTTCATGAAACTAGAATTTTGTGTAAGAACTTGATCAACTCCTGGAAATAAACTTATCTGCGGCTTTAAAAGTAAAATAGTCTGTTTGAAGTAGGTGTTATTGTTTCCTTGAGTCTTTGTTGATTGTCAAAAAGATGTATATGCGTTCATTGTTTATTTGAAGCTTTTTCTTGACTGAGGAAATTATTTAGGAATGGTTCATCACCACAATTAGAATCAAGTCCACATCAGTGAGTATGTGGATTGCACTAATATCCCTATATCTTTTCATTTAATCAAGATGACTAATGTCTATCTCTATTCAGTGAAAAAGTAAAATTAACCCATTATTTTAATATTAAAAGTTTGCTTTAGATAAGTTCAACTGCAATATCTCCTTTTTATAGTAGTTACCATATTATATTGCTTTGTTAGTGCCACTAAAAGTGAAAAACAGAGTAGTTTAATTATTTTGAATCAGTGACAATCTTTGTCTTTTCCATTCTCAAATGCGTTCGTTGTCTTCTTTGTCTGTGTTCATGCTTTTGGTTTTCTTTCCAGGATAGCTTGTCCTGGCAACCACAACCAGAGTTTTGTTCTTTGTTAGAAGAAAGCATTCTTGTTTATTATAATAGTGTAAAATAAACTTGGTCTTATAGAGTAACATAGATTAATTACACTTGTATGATTCCGTACAGGTGTGGGATTTTTATTAGCACTTTCCATAATGTAATTTGTTTCTGAAATGTTAAGAACTAATTTCCCTTGCCAAAATTATCTCACTTCCTAAGTTCTACGTTTTTCATGATTTTGGATACATTTTACTTGTTCATTTGTTACTTCTTGGACTCTCTCCTCCGTCCAGAGCAGAAGGATCACACGAGTGATGACAATAGAGAGAGTGAAGAAGGAGACGAGACTTTATTCTCTTAGTGCAGTCGTAATCTTCTATCTCTTGCGCTTTTCATTAGGTTCATTGATAAGTGAAAGTATAAAAGCCTATTTACACGGAGAAATCGTTTGCTCCAACCACATCGGCTATTCGTTCAATTGCGCTATCTGTTGTATGCTGTTGTTTACGTCATTAGTAAACCTAACAAAGAAAACCCTATTTTTCGGTAGGTCATGCAGCATTCCGATTGTGCAATTACTTGTTTGGTTGGATGATATTTTGCTTTCTAAGGAACTAAAAAGCATGGTCCTATCAAGATTCAAGAATAGAGACATATGTGGTTACATTGTCATCATGTGTCAATGCTCAGTCCTTGAACAAGTTCCTTAATGCATAAGAAAGAGACCCGTGAGTGGCTTTGGATTTGCTAACAAGTTGATGTCCTTTTATCTTTGAAAGTGGGAGGCAAAAGATCATTATTACATACTTTCATTTCCTCTTTTCATTTCATGCACGTACTGATTATTTTGGCTTCATGTGATAATTGTACTTAAGATTTCTGGTGCCAGATCTCATCAAGAAAGTGAAGCCAAAGTAAATGGGGCACTCACGTAAAGTCATCATTTTTATGTTCAATGACTGAAAAAATACAGAAGAAAAGACCTGCAACAGCACTTACCGGGCTATTTCAATCGAAATATGTGAGAGATCAATACTGGCTGACATATATTTCTAAAGCTGTAAAGCAAAGATCTTTTGGCTATGTTTTAATTGAGTGCACCCAGTCTTGACCAATCATTTTGCTCTCAGAACCTTCTAGTTCTTGAGGCCATCTCTGTTAATTTGACAGGTACGATTAAGAATCATACGAATTCTGCAAGTTCTAAGACTCACGGTAAGGAATGATTGCTCTGAACTATTCAAGAAGTATGCGAGAATATTCTATCAAAATACCATTATGCAGAGTATGATATGTATATCTTCTCTTTCTACTTCGAAAGAAAAGTCATATCGATGTCAATGCCTCCCCCCAAAAAAAAATTGTTTCAATCCAAGTCCACTTGTCAATTTCACAAGCAATTGTTCGAAAGTTCTTACCTAGATTTCAGTCTATATAGATCCGCATCATTATAGTCGTTTGATTATGTGGGTTAACGTCCACACATTCGATGATTATGATCATGTTGGTCTATGTCGATAGAGTCGGTCTAACTCATTGCAATGTTGTGTACTTAATCAAACTGCTATTAGCTCGACTTCAGTATGAAAGCACTGTTAAACGATGTTACAATTATCTCACATAGGTCGAGAACCACAGAAAGACACAAATCAAATAAACTCTCTTCCCATTCATAGAATTGGCATCTCCACTCCTTTTTCCGAAAAAAAAAGTTAACATTCAAAACAAGTCCAGGAAGAAAATTACCAGAAAGCAGGTCAGGTCAAGGGACAAAAATTCATCTAGTTTAGCTCGATGCGTACCATATACAACCGCTTTATCAAAAGAAATTACAAACAAGAGGCTGACACGTGAAATCGTATTGCATGATATCTTAATGTGCGCCCACATGAGTTGTCGAGATGCATATACAAATCGTGCTAGAAAAGTTTTGCATCGGAGAATTGATGTGATACGGGAGTAATTGATATTGATAAGAGATTTTGTCTCGAATGGATCTGAATTTATACTATTTGATGAGACAGGTTGACCCACAAACTTTTTCTGGCTCTCTCTTTTTTTTTCCCCGAGACCAAACAAACAAAGTGGTATGTACAGAATGTCGTCAGTTGCTCTTGTGGTATAATGCACATTATACATCTTTTTCTTCAACCTTTTTCTGGATATTTAAGAAGTGTTTCTCAGGCAGCCTCTCTCCCCCTTCTCTTTTTAATTACCTCCTCACAGTTTTCTTCTTAAGCTGGTAGAACTCACTCCTCTCTCTCTCTCCACGCGTGCAAATCCATAGCACAAGCACAGGAGATGGCAGCAAAAGGAGGAGATGGCATGCCAGGAGCCTTAAAATACCAGGTACTGTATCTCTCCTACGTACTCCAATCCGTTTGTTAATTCATTTTTGAAGCATAGTTTCAACGAAACTTCTTAGCTTGGACCTCTCTATGTCTATCGGTTTGATACAGACATGGACGTTGAAGGTCCCAATCCACTGTGAAGGCTGCAGTAGAAAAGTCAAGAGAGTTCTTCACAGCATCGATGGTATAGTGTGTTGCTTACTGTTTCTAGTTTCTGCTCCCATTTACTTCATCAACCACTTGCACAAAGAGCTCGCACCATGTGGTTCTTTTTTGCCTGACCATGCATATATCAAGCTCCTCATAATGTTGATGAGTACATATAGTGATTTATTTTCCTCTTTTATCACTAATCAAGCAAGTCACGTGATTAAGCACCTGGCGATGTTCATAATCGATTCCTATGGCGTCCTACGGATCCAAGTTTCGATTGTAAATCCCGAACTTCTTCATTCGCAAATCTGTATATCAATCCCAAATCACTATAGTTCTTCCATCTGATTTTCAGATTTCGATCGGCTTCCTCACTTTCACTTATGAAAAGACTATCTGAAGAAAATGTCTTTAACGCAACTTTAGTTTGAGATTTTCCGTGAATTGATGATCGCTAAACATATGAATTTCCTTCCCCTCAGGTGTATTTACGACAAACATTGATTCACAACTGCACAAGGTCGAGGTGACTGGTGATGTCGATTCCGAGACACTGATCAAGAAGCTGACCAAATCGGGAAAACAGGCTGAGCTCTGGCCCGATCAGAAGGAGAAAAAATCCGGGAAGTCCAAGAACAAGGACAACAAGCAAGAAAACCCCAAAGATTCCGAAGACGCCGGTGAAGAGGCTTCCAAAGATGCAAATGGAGTTGAAAGCGATGACGACGGCGACGACGATGAAGGGGGAGAGAACCATGGATCGGAAAACAAGGACACGGGTGGCGCGACCAAGGAGGCCGGCGCTGCCGGAACCGGCGGCAAGAAGAAGAAGAAAAAGAAGAAAGGGAAAAAGAAGAACGACGGCGGCACCGGCGATGGGGCAGCCCCGGGCAACACTCCAGGGACGAGCTCGGGATTCAGTCCACCGATTACGGGCTCGATGAGCATGAACCCGTATCCGCCGATCTCCTATTCACCGCAAGTTATGAGCTACAATGCGGCATACCCTAGCCCCAGCACCTCCTACTACGGCGCCTCTCCGATGCATGCATATTTGTACTCTCATCCAGGGCAGGCGTACGCTTTCCCTCCAGCGTCTGATCCGATCAGAAGCTACGCCGACGATGATCATGATCACGACGACGACGACGGCGGGTGCTCAATCATGTGAAGTGATTAACATGTGAATTTGCTAGGTTTTGTTTGAGGGAAACAAGTGTTGTGGAAGTTTATAATACGTATAGTAGGGGGTTGCTTGAAGAATAATGAAATATGGAGAGAGAAATTAAGGGTTTTATGGATGTGCTTTGCATTTTAGGGTAGGAACTCTTCGGTTCAAAAGTCTTTACTTTCTTCTCTTTTTAATTAAGGTTTTGCTTAGTTTCGACCAAAAATAAATTAAGGTTTGCTTAGGGAGGTCAATGTTATGTAATGTATGCATGCTTTGCAGGAACACACTGCTGGGTTTTCTTTTCGTCTCTTTCAATTTTTCCCGAGTACTTCCCAAAACTTACCCTTCGAACTAAGCAAATTGGAAGATTATTAGATGCTCTCGGGTGGCCATCCACCTAATGCAAGTCACGGAGCATCGAGAGCTATGAGCTTTATCGCAAATAATTGGGCAGACCGTCGCGTGATACTTCGAAAGCATTTTATAAAAATTTTCGGGATAAACGAAATGCTCTAAAAATGCATTGAACTCAAGTACTTTAGCAGCTGTAACTTTTTCTTGGGAATTTTGTAGAAAATATTTTTTTTTTCTCCCTCTCTTTATTATCTATCGTGTTTTGAAAAATAAAATAAAAAGAGAAAGGGAGGGATAATAGATTGCTAAAGTGACCCTCACACAAAAAAAAAAAGAGCTGATTTTATTGGCCAGGACATGCTGTACATGCCTTTTTCCCTTTGGCCCCAAAAAGCAAAGAAATCTTCGTTGGTGCCCACCGAATTGGTTTTGGAAAGCTACTCCAAAATTCTCTGTGACTGATATATTTTGTTCCTGATTTCACCTTTTATTTCAAATCTGCCACCTTTACACGAGGAAACCCTAAAAGTTGGGACCAGCGAGAAATCATTCTTTAGCTTATTTCCAACGAGAATCTCTAATGAGTTATGTAATCGATCATATGTAATTGGACCGATTAACAAACAAATCGTCCGACAAAAACGATTAGGAATTATACCATACACTTCCGATGACGGTCTATACATACATGTTTATACGAACAGCCGTGGAATGAAAATAGTGATCTATTTCTAATGTGAATTTGTCGTTGTCACTTTTTAAACTACTGCTTGTGAAGATTGAACTTGTGCATTATTAGTTTAGTGTAGAAAATAAAAGTGGGAATTTATTATCCCAAGAGAAAAAGTAGACAAATCTGTATGAAATATCCACGAGGACCACACGACCACCTTTTGCGTACGCTTTATCCGGAGAGTAATTTGCAGAATATTCACCGTCCATTATTTAACCCCCCCGTTTCATTTTATTTTCTAATTTACCGAAAGAGCGTGTGTATATTCTTATCCCGTCAGATATTCTTCGTCCATTTGTCTTTTGACTGGAATTTCCAAAAGGGTGCATTATTTTTGGCAACACATACGCTGCTGAAGCAATTGCAATTTTAGGAAAGATCAGATATGCGGGGGATCATTTTTTTTCTTGGACAAGTACATATAGCAAATGAGAGAAATAAAATAAGGTGGTCATATAAATTTAATATACACGACCTGAGCACGGCGTTAAAAGACTTCATCCGGGGCCTCGTTCGGATGCAAAGCAGATAGAGGGTATTCCTTCCTCTCAAGAAAGACAAAGATAGGGAGGCGAACAAGTGGTATAGAGCGTGCGGATATCGACACGTTAAAATAAAAAAACGTATCCATAGAACCCGTTGTCCCCGTACATTAAACGGACAGGCCGCCGAGGTCATTTTAAGAGTTTCGACTTCTCTTCTATGGTGAGATTACCTCTTAATCAGAACATCAATGATCCACCGGAGACCCTTAGTTAAGATTAAGAGGACATCAATCACAAAATCTTCATGAAAAACTTATTTATGAAAACATGGACATATTAACTGTCGTTTACGAGTAAGAGGCAAAAAGGAAAAGAAAAATAGAAAAGGGCACTTATGCCTTATTTTCCCACCTAAACTTTTCACGAATATTGAGTGTTTAATAGTACACCGGACTTTCATTTAATAGCTTAATCGAATTTTTTAGAACAGTTGACGGAAGGTCTAAAACAATATGACGCTTTATTAGAGCACGAGATATTGAGTTCGAATACTCCAAATCCCTATTTGCTTCATCAATTATATATCTCCGAAAACTCCATTTTATGCTTGATAGGAAGTGTTTGAGTATTTAAATATAAAAACGTGTATTAATCTAATAGTTTAAACTTTTAGAATGGTTCGACGGTGGTCAATAGTATCAATTGTGCATGTGAAGGTGGTCCTCGTAGACGGCACCTCCGAACTTTGTCGAACATAGTCCAAATAGGGTTCAAGTACATCAAGAAAACATTGTGTACGTTTGGATAGATGAATGGAGACTCTAAATAGACACTATTCATATAGCTCAAGGGCTAGGGGGAGAGCATGGGATCGAGTGGAAAGCACACGAACCTCATAAAAGTATCGGGGCAATTCTTCGACTTAGGTGCTTAATTTCTTTTCCGATTCTGCTCATATATATATATGTATGTTAATTTTGCAACCATTTCTTTCCAGCATCTTCTAGAGAATTCTTCCCTAATTCCACTTGTGGCATATATAGAATAAAACCTTAAATATTGGGCTTCCTTTTCCTTAGAATATCTAGGTGGGACATGATCAATTTGATCATCAAATGATTAAGGCTCTCAGGTCCCCCGTGTTCAACGCAAGTATTAAAATAACCATCATAGTGTTTGAATCTGGCTTGTAATAATCCGTTTAACGTAGGAGATGCATTTGACTTTCCTACTGATTGAACTACTTGAATCAGCTGAAGGAGTGAGCATGTACCATACAACCAAACATACAAAAGTAAGCCAACCATGAATTCCTATATTGTGAAGGGAACCACCCTGTAAAGTAAAGAGCCACGCCTAAAGGACCAAACTCGATGCTGAGAACAAGATCTAAAGCCCCGTAGTTGAGAACAAGATTGAAAGCGCAACTTCTCATTCGAAGCATGAAAGTGCTCGAGTCACTTAGAGCGAGAAGAGAGAGGAGTGGCCAAGTAGTAATTTAAGCGTTTGAATTGAACTTTTTGATATGGTATCCGAATCGAGTTTTTAATCCCCATACCCTATTTAAGTTTATTTCACGCGGACTAGACTTTCTAATACTCTACCAAAGTCTCGATCCAGTTAATGGTGTGGTGCGCACCAACGATCAAATCAGTCATCTCATATTTCAATCCACGAAAATGTTGTGATAATTTTGATTACCTAGTTTTTCCGGTGAATAAACGATGATGGTGATGACATTGATGGAGTGGGTGGGATAAAGGAAAGATTAGACAGAGTTTGGTGGAACTTAACAGATAATAATGATGATCAACCCTAATCAAATCATATTTACAAACTCAAGAAAGTTAGGAAATTCGTTACCAAGGAATTCGCCTAAATGGATTGGCGATGGCTAAACAAATAAAGCCAAACATGCCCTGAGAAGAGTTTTAGACAGGAACCTAACTCACATGTACCGTTGAATGAAGCGGACTCCATATGATACCCGACCAATCTAGACGGGTCGGGTCATATAAGGAAATGGGCCACGAATGACGGGCATGATGGGCCTTGAAGTGACTAGCCCAGTTCACGCTCTGAGCAAACTTATTGGGCCTGCCAAAGGCCCATCAATATACAGGTATTCATTCAATTGCAAATATGCAACCTATACTTTTATACATATACATCATCAAATAAACAAAATCATCTAAAAAATCCCCCAAAAGTAATGTCAAGACTCTGCATCTGTTCATCTCTCTATCGCAACAGTCACTTTCGGTCAACTCATCAAACGTGATTATATTTAGAGGCTTTTCTTGATTTGCTTTTTCTCATTTGCAATTGCCACATGGAATTTATTCCTCATCGATGCATTAAAGATTCTTCGACAGATAAAAGCTTTTTATTCGATTCCATGATGTTCTTTTAACGCAGCAAGAATATTAAGTCCGTGTTGCATGGAACTAAAGATCGGATCGGAATCATTAGATGCCTAACGTGGATAATTTTCTCTTCTTCTTTTTTTGGTGAATTCTATGAATTATCAATATCAAAGTAGTTAAATTTTGGATTATTAGAAACCGCTCACTCTGGTCGATTGTTTTCCTAGTATTTAATTCTAGAAAATGAGATGAAAATTGACTAAAAATGGTGAGAACTATAGTAGCAATGTCATCTCATGTTGTTTGATTAGTTAAGTGCGAAAATCATTAATTTTTTTGGAAAAAAATCAAATCAGGGAAGTCTGCTTGTGAAAAGTGGACTAATTAACCAATCGAATCGATTGTGAAATTCGGCGTGTCATCCACTAAGTCAAGAATAGTACCAAATAGCAAGATACCCTTATCTGAAAGTGACAACTGGACCCTCACCACCATGTCTTGCTCAATGCTCAACCATGTGATTTCCTCTCTCTATATATGCACCCTTAATGTCCTCTCCTCAATGCTATTATCTTATCCTCCACACACGCACACCACACAGGCAAAAACTCCATTAAAAAGCATGAAACCTCAGCACCCACCTGGGGATTGCTCTCTCGGCCACGAGAGCAAGAGGGCGGCGACGATCGGAGAGAGGCTCAGGCGAGCGTACGAGGCGGCCGTCGTGGCCGCCGCCGCCGCTCCGTCGAGGGGCGAAGCCCCGGTATGGGGCCGGTTTGCGATCCCGAGAGATGTGGAGAGACGGAAGTCGGGGTATCGCGTCGAGGACCCGATCAGGACCATGATGTTCCTGGGATCTTGGAACCACACTTGAGAAAAAAGGAGCTTGTATCTTTCCTTGCGGAGAAGAAGGGACTGAAGTGATGGGGAGGTGTAAATGAATGGGAGGTGGGGCTAGAGTGTCATGAATATATCCTAGAAATATACGGCATAACCAGGAGATTGTTGTAACTAAATTGATCTTCAATGGTCGAAGATGATAACCGTGTATCCAACTGACTGATGAAGTCAGATGTTGTCGTAAAGCATTTGTAGTAATCTTTCGTTATGTAATTGATCTGTCGAACTAAGTTGAAAGCAATGTCATTTCCTCTGTTATCTTTTCGTGGTTCTTGTCGATCTTGATCGTGGGACTCGGTTTTCCAAGAAGCTCAGGAGGTGGGTGGTCCGACGGGCTTTTACCCGAATCCATATTCTATGTCTGGTTACCCAGTTAGCTCTGAATGTAAAAAATTGATGCTTTGCTTCGAAAACGAAGAAAAAAGATGCAAAAATAGATAGGGCCTTGAAGCCCTCCCATAAAGGAATTCCACTTTTTCGTCCAAATAAGGGAATCGTCAAATTAAAATTTTTTGTGAAATTTTTGGATCAATGTCATTCATGTTTCTCAAGAAATTGAGATTTTGAGGAGCCACGTCATGTATTTATCCGGGTAGCTTCATCTGCTCAAGGTTGAAACCCTCGCTCTTCTGGAAACCCTAAAGTACTTCACTTCACAAAAGCGAGAGAGCTTTCTTGCTGAGTCGGATTGGTTTGATCTGAATGAGCGCACTAGCGAGCTCGTATCGACTAAGTGGGAAGCCAAAGTGGTTATCGAAGAAAGCCGTGATCAGCTGTTGCGGTTTTCACATATCCAATTGGCCCATTGTCTAAGAGCGTCCAGTAGATAAAGTGTAGAAAAATAAAGAATTCTAAAAAATTTTCTGTGATTTCTCTCTTCCAGCTTACGTTTACAAGGCTATAAGTACATTTATATACAAAGAAAAGAATCAACCTTAATTGACCTACAAATCAGGGGATATACATAGAAATAGGAAATATACATAGAAAGAGTATAACACAATAAGAACTTTCCTATTTTGGCTCTAGAAGACAACTCACGCTAACACTCCCCCTCAAGCGGGTGAGAAGATGTCTTTGATACCTAGCTTGACAAGTGAGCTGTGAAAATCTCGACTCGACAAGGCCTTCGTAAGAACATCCGCCAACTGATCTTCAGATCTGACGAATGGAAACTTTATCACCTTAGCATCCAAGTTTTGCTTGACAAAATGCCTATCCACCTCAACATGCTTAGTACGGTCATGTTGAATTGGATTGTGAGAAATTTCAATCGCAGCTTTATTATCACAAAATAGTTTCATCTCGGACTCAGGTGGGAAACCAAATTCTGTCATCAACATTTTTAGCCATAATAGCTTGCATAGACCTTTAGCTACCCCTCGAAATTCTGCTTCAGCACTTGACAAGGCCACAACCTTCTGCTTCTTGCTCCTCCATGTTACCAAGTTTCCTCCCACAAATGTGAAATAGCCTGACATAGACCTCTTATTAGAGATACTACCTGCCCAATCCGCATCCGTAAATCTTTCTACCTCAAGGTGATCATTCTTTGCAAAGAACAACCCTTTTCCTGGAGCTGACTTCAAGTAGCGCAGAATCCGAACCACAGCATTCATATGTTCTTCACTCAGAGCATGCATAAATTGGCTCACAACCCCTATAGCATATGCAATATCAGGACAAGTGTATGACAAATACATTAGTCTCCCTACTAACCTTTGGTATCTATCCTTATTGGTAGGCATCTGATCAGGAAACTCTCCGAGTTTATGATTTTGAACTATAGGAGTGTCAGCAGACTTACATTCCATCATTCTAACCTCAGCTAATAAATCTAATACATACTTTCGCTGAGACAAGAAAATACCTTCCTTCGACCTGGCTACTTCAATTCCCAAAAAATATTTCAGGCCTCCCAAATTTTTCATCTCAAACTCATTGGCTAGCCGCCCTTGAAGGTTTGCAATTTCTTCAAGATCATCCCCTGTGATGATCATATCATCCACGTATATGATCAATGCTGTCACTTTGTCCTATCTATGCTTTAAGAATAACGTATGATCAGAATTACTTTGAGTGTATCCATACCTCTTCATCGTTGAGCTAAACCGACCAAACCACGCATGGGGTGATTGCTTTAACCCATATAATGATCGCTGAAGTTTGCACACCACATTTGACTGATCAGCACACGCATACCCAGGTGGGACTTCCATGCAGATTTCTTCCTCTAGATCTCCGTGAAGAAACGCGTTCTTCACATCAAATTGGTGCAAAGGCTAATCCAGGTTCGTAGCAAGTGACATCAAAACCCGTACGGTATTCAGCTTCACAACTGGAGAGAATGTTTCTTGGTAGTCCACACCATAGGTCTGGGTATATCCCTTTGCTACTAGTCGTGCCTTGTACCTCTCAACTAACCCATCTGCTTTGTATTTGACAGTGAAGACCCACTTGCACCCCACTACCTTCTTCCCCTTCGGCAACTCTACAAATCCCCAGGTCTTTTTTTTTTGCAAGGCTTCCATCTCCTCTTTCATTGCTTGAACCCACTTGGGATCCCTCAGGGCTTCTTGTACTCCACTAGGAACTTGAATTGCGGAGACATTGGCCACAAACACTTTCAAGTGTTACGACAATCTCCTTGTCGAAACATAATTGGTAATAGGGTACTTTGACCTTCGTTCCTCCACATCTGGTGAGTACCTATTAGGAGCCTTGCCTCGATTGTGTCTGTCGGGCAATTTATAACCAACAACCTCATCAGTATCAACAAGAGAATTATGTGTGATAGGAGAGCTTACCTCAGGAGAATGATCGGGTACTAAAGAGGGGATATTTTGAGGAAGAGAGGACTGCTCTTGAGGTTGTTCTTGTGTCTCTTGTAACAAAATAGTTTGCTGGTCATCTTCATTAAGAAGTTGCTGTCGTGAGTCAGATGCATCGCTAATCCCTACCATCAAGCCACCTTCCCACCAATTTACCCTTTCACCATGGATCTCCCCTTGAAAGGTACAATTGGTGGCACGAAAGAAGAGTTCAGATTCAACAAATGTAACGTCCATGGTCACATGAGTTTTCTTTGTGTCCGGATTGTAGCAGCGATATCCCTTCTAGTGGGTTCCATAGCCAAGAAAAACACACTTGACAACACATGGGTCGAGCTTTGTTCGCTGATTTTTATGCAGATGGACGTAAGCCACACACCCAAACACCTTGGGAGGTAAAGTCAAGACTGAAAGAAGTGAGACATACGTCGAAAGAGCGTGAAGCAGGGTCTGGAATGCCAATACGCGGGAGGGCATGCAGTTCATTAGATGCACGGCAGTAACCACAGCCGCATCCTAAAACCGATTCGGAACCTGCCCACCCACTAGGAGTGCCCTCGCTGTCTCCAGGATATGGCGATTTTTCCGTTCGGCAACACCATTTTGCTGGGGTGTCTGAGTGCAAGAGGTCTCGTGAATTAATCCATAGCCTTGAAAATAACCTGTGAGGTGTTGGTTAATATATTCGCCGCCGTTGTCGCTGCAAAGGATACAGATTTGAGCTCCAAATTGAGTCATGACCATGCGGTGAAATACACGAAAGATTGTCCCTACTTCATCTTTATGTTTCATTAAATATAACCAGGTCATCCTTGTACAGTCATCCACAAAAGTTACAAACCAACAAATGTCAGACATAGTAATAATTGGTGAAGCACCCCACACATCCGAATGTATTAATGAAAAAGGAGTTGGGCTCTTTTTAAAACTCAATAGAAAAGAAGCACGATGGCTCTTCGCCAAGATGCAGGTCTCACAATGAAATTCAGAATCTGATAAACTACTGAACAAATTTGGAAATAATTTCTTTAAATACCCAAAAGAAGGGTGTCCTAAGCGACAGTGCCATAGCCAAATTTCTTTCTCCTTAGCAGTAGACTGACCGCGGGTGTAATATTCTCGGCTTTCAGTGAAGTCATCAACAAAGTACAGTCCCTCCCTCTTAGTACCACGTCCAATAATCTCCTTCGTGAGGATATCCTGAAATAAACAAAAGGAGGGATACATAATTACGCTGCAATTCAATTCAGCAGTGATTTGTCCAATAGAGAGCAGTCGGTTAGATAAAGATAGCACTAGCAAAGTATGAGATAATGATAAAGATAGGGAAAGTTCAACACTGCCAGCCCCCAACACAGGAAAACGATGACCATTGGCATTATATATATGTTGTCTCCTCGGAGCGGTGTGGCGCAAAAGATCATCAAGATGGGGTGTCATATGATCAGTAGCGCCTGAATCAACAATCCACCCATCTTTACCTCCCGCTTGAGAAGTATTGACAAGCACAAACCCATTGTTACCTGTAAGATCGGAATCAAGTGCAGCGGTGGAGTCTACCTGTGATACCAAAGATAACGACGAATCACCTATGGCCAAGGAAGCTTGTCCTCTACCCGTTGGATTGTCAGCCTTCTTTTTTGCCTGCAATTCTTTCCACCACTCAGGATAGCCATGCAACTTGAAACATGTCTCCTTTGTATGTCGAGAATTCCCGCAGTGAGTGCAACCCCCTGCTGCTAGCGGTTACGACTTAGCTCTCGGACCAGAGCTCGAGCGCCCTCCCCCAGGCAGAGTAGAACCAAGAACCATTTGTAAAGTAGCATGTCCGGAGCCGAATTCTGGAAATTTTGAGCCTGTTTTGCTGCCACGCGGCACCATAGTAGTAGCAGTGGGAGTCTGTGGCTGTGCCATCATAACGGCGTGGCGCACATCTTCTCTTCTTGCTCGTGCGTAGGCTTGTTCAACCATAAGAAATGGCTGCATCTGCAATACATCAGCCTAACCTTGTCGAGGCGATCATCCAGGCCATCCAAGAATAAATAAACACGATCTTCCTGAACTAAAGTGTTGTATATGTCAATATCATGAGCGCAGGTCGTAGGATTAGGCCGGCGAAAATCAATTTCTCGCCAAAGTCTTTGCAGGTCATTATAATATTTTTCAATGGGTCTGCCTGCCTACTTCAACTGGGTCAGTCGTTGCTTTAAATCATACACCTGGGAGACGTTGGCGCCATCAAAGAATGTTGTAGCCACCGCATCCCAAACCACTTTTGCGGTGGGGTATCGGATGAAGTTGCCAATCAGTGTAGGATCCATGGAATTGATAAGCCAGCCATTCACAGTTGAATCGTTAGTCTTCCACTTCCGGAGGCCGAGATCATTCGAAGAGGGTTGGGGAAGAACCCCAGTAATATATCCCAACTTGTTTTTGCCAGAGATGTACATCTTGACAACTTGGGACCAAAGACCATAGTTGCTTCCTTCTAACTTGACAGCAATCGGGGGAGCCGGAGTCTCAACATGAGATTGTGGGACATGTTGGGATAGGACCCGGGTCAAACGCTCAATAAGAGCATCAGTATTCGAAGTTCCCTCTTGTGCTACCAAGGGAAGAACATCGCCAGTCGGGTTTGTGTCTGCCATAGGGTGATGCAGCACGGTTGCGGCGATCTTCAAGAAATCTGGTTGGAGCAGCAACGAAGGTCGCGGCAATGGAGTCTGATTGATCGAATTGAGTATAGAGTCCCTTGATCGATGGCTCTGATACCATGTAGAAAAATAAAGAATTCTAAAAAAATTTCTGTGATTTCTCTCTTCTAGCTTACGTTTACAAGGCTATAAGTACATTTATATAAAACAATAAGAACTTTCATATTTTAGCTTTCCTATTTTGGCTCTAGAAGACAGCTCACGCTAACATAAAGTACAAAGAAAAATAAGCCCGTCACGAAACTGGGTAGCCTACTCCATATAAGTCCTATGAAATTTATTTCATCTCGTCCAATAAATCCAGACCGATATACTCATCAACTATAATTTAACGGAAAACTAATTAAAGATAAATTTATCACAAGTGTATCAATTTTGGAATTTTGATGATCAAAATATTAGTTTGTAGTAAATTTATTATAGGTGTAATGATTTAGGATTTTTCGTGATATTAACTTTTTTTTTTAAGAGAAGACAAACCCATAAACGAACCGGCGTTTGGTGAATCCGGTCGAACCGAACCGGGCGACTCCGATCTAATCTCGCCTTGACTCAGAAACTGCACCCACTCCGTCGAAGCATCATCTTCTTGGCGAACTAGGGGAGTGAAGCAGAGGTAATGCCTCCTCCAAATCCAATCATTCGTTAATCCGATTGCAACCCTTTTCGATTCGCATCGCGGTGATCGCTGTGTTTAGGTTCCTGCTCTTTCGTTTCTGTTGATTGATTGTTTATCCGAGCTTTTGGTGCGAGATCTTTCGAAGTTGTGGTGACCCAACGGGAGTCACGATTGGTAGAGCTAAATATTGGGGATTGGGATTGGTTTATCGTGATGCTTGATGGGTTTTTTTTCCGATTGGTGAATCGTGGAAGTTTCATATTGCAAGATCAAAACTTTGAATTCGCGGGTTTCGCTTATGATTCGTGGGATTTGAGCTCCAAAATCGGAATTACTCGCTGCTCACTAGGTTTGTCTCCTGCTTTTGTTTAGGAGATTGGACAACAGAGATGGCTTCGTCGCTTCCCTCTGATCACAAAGCCAAAATCATCGATGGAAAAGCCATTGCTCAGACCATTCGATCAGAAATTGCCTCTGAAGTTAGCCACCTTTCTCAGAAGTATGGCAAGGTCTCTCTCTCTCTCTCTCTGCGTGTATGAGTCGGCATGTGTGCGCGTGGGCGAGCCGGGTGGCATGGATGTGTGTGATTAGCTGCTCTTATATTATCTGGAAAAGTTGTTCCAGTATGGCAAGGTTTACGTTGCTAATTTGAATCTTGTTATGTCTCGTTTATGTTAAGTTGATATGGAACTGTTTGTTACTGTTTTTGATGGTATGCTCAAGTTCAGAGCTTTCCTCTCATATTTCTGGTGGACAACAATGCATAAATAAACGCCAGATGCATTTGTGCTTGATTAATATGGAGAGCAAAGTTCCTTCTTCCTTGAGAAAAGCAGTTTAGTCAGAAGGAATGTTTATTTACAACTCAGCTGGCCACACCTAATACTTTATTGCACCAGGCCGTACAAGTGTACTCCTTTGGTGCTCTGTCTGCATGCAGTTCTGAAAGTGAGAAGGGTTCGCATGATTTATTTGTCCCATCTACTAGTTGCTGCAAATGCGTTCCTATTACAGGATGCCTATGCAGAAACTCATATGATCTGTACATTGTTAATGAAAGAGGCCTCCTGTATATTTCTGGATTTAACAGAATGCGATGATTGCCTTCTCATCAAAGTACCAATACTGAAATTTAGGAACAACATCTAATGCAGCCTGTCATAGTATTACTCAGCATTGGGGTTTAACTTGCTGCTGAAGTAGATGTTAGGAATCTTTGCAGTTCCATGTTTCGTGATTGTCCAATTCGTGATCTATCACTACTAGTTACATTGGACTATGTATATTGTACATCTTCGAGAGCTTCCACTTGGCTTATTCTCTTGGTCAATTTTTTTACTTTCAATTGATTAGACATTTGGCTTGTGATCACCACCTTGCAATGAACATAGGTTCCTGGACTTGCTGTGGTGATAGTTGGTACCAGGAAGGATTCGCAAAGCTATGTAAGCATGAAGAGAAAGGCTTGTGCTGAAGTTGGTATCACGTCATTCGATGTAGATTTGCCTGAGCAAGTATCCGAGGCTGAATTGATTGACAAGGTCTACGAGTTAAATGCAAACCCTGATGTACATGGTTGGTCAGTTGATTGTTTTTAAATTTGTTACCTATTGTTATCGCTGTGTTTATTCTATCATCAGTTCGAAAACACTGGTTTAGATGCCCATTTCACATTATTAACCTTTCTTATGATAGCGCTGCTTTACCTGTGCAAAGTTTAGAAAGTCAACTTTTAGACTGGGTTAGATATACGTTCATATGCCTGCAAAAGAAAATTTTATTTTGGAGAATAACATGTAATTTGTAGGCTTCAAAGATGGCAAAAGGCCCCTGATATGAAAAGTTCCAATTTTTGGAGTCACATATCGGAAAGATACGTGTGCCATCTCCAGCTATGGTCTGATTTTTTCAAACCTGTAGCATAAGTTGTGTTAAAGGTTAACGGTGCTGCATTGGAAACATGAAAAAGTGGACCTTGTTGCATAGACTATCCTTTCTAAGCCTACTGATTGCAAAGGCTCAAGTTCCTAAGGCTCTGATCCTCTCCTCACCTTGTGTCTAATCTGCTGCTTTGGCAGGTATACTGGTTCAGCTTCCTTTGCCAAAGCATATAAATGAAGAGAAAGTCTTGAGTGCGATCAGCATCGAGAAAGATGTTGATGGCTTTCATCCTCTAAACATTGGAAAGTTGGCCATGAAAGGCAGAGAACCTTTGTTTCTTCCGTGCACACCCAAGGCAATGATGTTCATGCTTCTTAATTATCATGTTCATACTTCCAGTCTATCTTATTTACTTCCTTCAAGAAGGAAGCAGGATATTCAAGAACTACTACACTAATTGCTCAAGTGTAATTTCTCTAGGGATGCCTCGAACTCCTCTCACGTAGTGGAATAAGTACGAAGGGAAAGAAGGCCGTTGTGGTTGGACGAAGTAACATAGTTGGGTTACCAGTATCCTTGTTGCTTCTGAAGGCGGATGCCACTGTTACTGTAGTCCATTCGCACACTCACGATCCGGAATCTATTATTCGTGAAGCAGACATAATTATTGCTGCAGCTGGACAAGCAATGATGGTATGCAGACTCTCCAGACATTTTATGGTCCTGTCTCTACGAATTAAGGACCTTGTTTTGCGACCTAATTATACCTCTTGAATAGAACAGAGACTTTTGTTTTTGATCTCTGTTAAAGGCTAAATGATCTTAGCTCTTTCTCTTTCTCCTGAGTTGATAAACCTTTCACTGGTAATTGATTATTTCTGTGACCTATATCTCCCTGCACAAATGTGACACTCTTTTTGTGCATTCAAAATTCAGATCAAGGGTAGCTGGATCAAACCGGGTGCTGCAGTCATTGATGTAGGAACTAACGCTGTTGATGATCCCAGTAAGAAAACAGGCTACAGGTTAGTTGGAGATGTGCATTTCGGGGAAGCTAGCAAGGTAGCTGGATACATAACACCCGTTCCAGGTGGTGTGGGCCCAATGACTGTCGCAATGCTATTGAAGAATACCCTCGAGGGTGCTAAGCGCGTGATTGAGAAATGAAGATCTAGTGCTCAAAATGGTACGACACTGGGCAGATCTATAAATTTTGTGTAATGCTGTTTCCAAACTAGTAGATTTTTGTTTGTTGCCACAAAAATCATGCTGTACTTTGTTTTCCCCAGTAACATCATAAACCCAATCTTCATATTGGTGGTCCTTAAAGAGCGACTAATAATGCCATAAACCTAGTTTGTGCGAACAGTATAACCCCCCATCTTTTATTAAGTAGGGAGAATTGACAGCACAAGATTGCAGCACTTGCTCCGATCGATTATTGTCCTCTAATGTCCTTGCTTCTTTAGGTACTCAAGGAATTCTTCACAGTTAATCACGAGAAGGCATTGTAGTTCGCTCAAGCATTGCTTTCATCAATCGAAGCATTGTAACCCTCGAGTTATAGGGAAAATCGGTTGTCAGTTTATTGTTACTTGTGAAGCATATGTATTCCTTGGAATGACAGGGAAGATTTCATCTCTTTACCTAACTCTATGCATCGTCAATTTGTCTCACCGTTTAGTTATGCTGCTTCTTCATTGTGAAGTTTCTTAGAAGAATTTGGCTATTGCTTCATCCTTAAGTTGTCATGCTATAATCTTACCCTCCTTTTTAATTGCTATTTGTGGTTAGAACTTAGATGGTTTGGGACCATCGTCAGATGCATCTACTATTCAACATCTGTCAAAAATGTTTTACCATTCTTATTTTTGTTAAGACGGGGTTCACCTACCTTAACGAAACACATTCCGACTGGAGCCCGCTCCATGTCGCGCCCACCAGAGAGAGAGAGAGAGAGAGTACTTTTGGTGAATGTGTAAAAGGACAACCTTATCAAATACATGTAATGAGCAAATGCCCTTTCAACCCTCATGGGATTAGCTAAACGGCTAAGCGCTTGATTCGAATTGGGTAGATCTCCAAGTCCAATCTGAACGTCTTTTATGAAGGTCACCTTGTGGAGCGGGCGTTGTCTGATATATACGTGAGCATGACATTTGAATGAGTCAGGAAGGATTGTCACGTTATTTGGAGATAAAACTAAAGGAGCAAATGTCCTCATTTCAAATAACCTCGTGCCTCTACTACAATTAAGGATAGTTTTGAAAGGAAAAAACTAGTTTTGGTATTCAGCCAAATACTGAAAGCCCAATGCTAGTAGAGACCGGCAATGGGCTTTTAACTTTCTCAAGGCTAACATTTGACTGAAAGCCTTTTGGAAAGGCTTACCAAACATCTCAACATTTTTTTAAGGGGCTTTGGAGACCGAAAGCCTCTTGAGAAAGTTGTACTAAACGCACTCTTAGAAAGCTCCACCTAATAAACTTTCCACAACGTATAGCATGGCCTATTCGGTAGACGATGGTACAAATGAATTAAGACTACCAAAGATTGCTACGAAAAGATAGTGCCAAAATAAGCTTTGGGCTTAGCATTGCTTCCTTTGGTTGATAGTCAAAGATTCCATTTTACAATCGAGTTATCTAGCTTTTAAGGGCGCGAATGATAATTAATCTATTTCAGAAATCAATTTCTCGCCAGAAATAGATTTTTCTATTTCTATTCCATGAACGAGTTTTTGAGCCAAAATTTGCGTTTAATAACCACACAAAATTTCTCCCTCCCGAGTAGCCGACGAGCGAGAGGCGGCGGATGATGGGCGGTGGTGGGAGGCGACCGGCAACGGGAGGCCGACAATGGCTAGAGGTGGCTAGCGTTGGGCGGCGGACGACGATGGGAGGCGGTCGGCAGCGAAGGACAACAACGGGAGGCGAGCGGCGGGAGAGGTGGCCGACATTGGGTGGCGGAGGAGGACGACGGCCGGCGGCGAAGGAGGATGGCGACGGGAGGCGGCCAGCGGTGGAGGATGACAACAGGAGGCAGCCGGCAGGTGGGTAGCAGTGGGAGGTGGGCGATGTTGGGCGGCGACGGAAGGCTAGCGGCAGTGGGAGGTGGTCGGTGTTGGGCGGTGGCGGGAGGCGACAGAGGATGGCTAGAGGCGGCGACCGACGGTGGGAGACGGCCAACATTGGGCGGCGAAGGAAGGCAAACGGCGAGAGGTGGCCGACAGCGAAGGATGGCGGTGAAACGGCGACAAACAACGGTCGGCAGGCGGCGGAGGACGATGGCCGGTGACAGAAGGAGGCGACCGGCGGCGACTGTGGGGCTGCGGGTGGGTGGCCAATTAGTAGTGAGGGCAAATGATGAGAAGACTTTTTATTTCTCATTTCTGTTCCAGAAATAGAAAAGTAAAAAAATTTTACTTCTGATTTTTGTTCCAAACCTATTTCTAGAGTAGAAATTTGTTCCAGAAATAAAAAAATGAAATTACGTTACCAAACGGATTTCTATTCCAAACCTGTTCCTGGAAACAGAAAAATAGAAAAACAGATAAACTGAATGATTATCATGCACGCCCTAAGTCTTCAAACTTTCATAAAATGTCCAATCAGGCCCTTCCATTAAAAGTTCGATAAATTCCTATATGTGCTGTCGATGCAAACCGCTTGATGACACTATGTTGGAGGATTCCTTTCAAGTTGAACGGATCGAGTTGACAAGATAAACTTGATTTGGACATGTTTTTCTAAAACTTTTAAGGTTCTATTGTGCAAACAAAAGAAAATTAAGGACCAAATTGGATGCCATGCACAAATTTTAGAATGCATGTGGTAACTATCCAATTTGTCAATTTTTTCCTCCAATTTGTCAATTATGACAAAAGGTTTTATGTACTAGTAGGCGCTATTTCCTTTCTCTTTTTGGGCTAAAACACACGGTCTTTTTTTGTTAATCGATCAAATTAGCTTCCTTCCAGCTTTATTAAGCATGTATTAATAATTTACTGACACTATTTCTAAGCAAATGAATGATCCATGAGTTATTACTTTCTTATCTCAGTTTAATTCAAAGTTTTTCTTTTTATGCTTTCTTGAACCCTGTCTTGAAGAGAGCAATTTATTTTTTCCTTCAAAAGAGTAAAAAACTAATACCCGAATGTGCATTCAGTTAGCAGCTTAATTCAAGATTTTATTTGTTTGGTCCTTCCAATCTTTAGACATAAAAATTAGAAAAGAGAAAGATCAAGACTAAACTTTTTTATTTTATTGTTTAATTACGAAGAAAATTATCAATGTTGCTTGTGAAATATGTTGTCAATATTATTTTTTATGAATAAATATAAGTTTGAATGCAAAGAAATTATCATTAGATTTGAACTTCCATCGAAACAACCTAAAAAAGAATAAATGAACGATTTTCTAACAACTCAAATTAACAACAATATTATCTTCGACAAATTAATGAACTCTTGATTGCCAAAACGAAAACTTGTGTTTCAACTTGGAGACATGGTTTTACCGAAAGTTAAAGACATCTTTTTACCTTTACCGAATCAAAAGGACACTGTAAATAATTATGAATATCGAACCAAATCTTGTTATCAAAGGGTAATTTAATTAGTTCACATAAAAACGATGTGTTTCAGTCCAAAAGGTGCGAAAATAGCGTCTCCTTTAACAGAAGAAGAAAGAAATGGAGAGAGAGAGAGAGAGTTTATGAATTTTTCATTAGTTTGTCTTACCTGATTATTTAGATTTGCAACAGTTCATGAGGGCTCATCTAATTTTCACCAAAGCTCATCTAATTTGGATCTTTATACATAATAAATGTAACTTCGAGAGAAGGGAATGAGTTGCAATTATACTTTGAAAACGCAACCGCAAGCAAAGGTCAAGGCCAAGAAGTTTATTTTGAGTTCTTGTTCAGTTCGTGATTGAATGAGCGTCCACGTCGATAAGTACCTTAATTTCAACGAGCTCTCAATTACTAACAACTTTTTTCAAAGAATCTAGATCGTCCCTCATGCAACTATATCAAATTGACTTTCGAAGCGTTTACATCTTGGTCCGGGTTAGCCAGTCCAACACTTAACCCAAGGATTAACCCGCACAGTTAACGACCAAATTGGATGTCATGCACAAATTTTAGAACGCATGTGGTAAATATCTAATTTGTCAATTTTTTTCTCCAATTTGTCAATTATGACAAAAAGGTTTTATGTACTAGTAGGCGCCATTTCCTCGCTCTTTTTGGGGTAAAACACACGGTCTTTTTTTGTTAATCGATCAAATTAGCTTCCTTCCAACTTTATTAAGCATGTATTAATAATTTACTGACACTATTTCTAAGCAAATGAATGAACCATGAGTTATTACTTTCTTATCTCAGTTTAATTCAAAGTTTTTCTTTTTATTCATTCTTGAACCCTGTCTTGAAGAGAGCAATTTATTTTTTCCTTCAAAAGAGTAAAAAACTAATACCCGAATGTGCATTCAGTTAGCAACTTAATTCAAGATTTTATTTGTTTGGTCCTTCCAATCTTTAGACATAAAAACTAGAAAAGATAAAGAAAATAAAAAAGAAAGAGAAAGAGAAAGATCAAGACTAAACTTTTTTATTTTATTGTTTAATTACGAAGAAAATTATCAATGTTTTTTTTTGCTAGAAAGAAAATTATCAATGTTGCTTGTGAAATATGTTGTCAATATTATTTTTTATGAATAAATATAAATTTGAATGCAAAGAAATTATCATTAGATTTGAACTTCCATCGAAACAACCTAAAAAAGAATAAATGAACGATTTTCTAACAACTCAAATTAACAACATTATTATCTTCGGCAAATTAATAAACTCTTGATTGCCAAAAGGAAAACTTGTGTTTCAACTTGGAGACATGGTTTTACCGAAAGTTGAAGACATCCTTTTATCTTTACCGAATCAAAAGGACACTGTAAATAATTATGAATATCGAACCAAATCTTGTTATCAAAGGGTAATTTAATTAGTTCACATGAAAACAATGTGTTTCGGTCCAAAAGGTGCGAAAATAGCATCTCCTTTAACAGAAGAAAGAAATGCAGAGAGAGAGAGATAATTTATGAATTTTTCATAAGTTCATCTAATTACCTGATTATTTCGATTTGTAACAGTTCGTCATCTAATTTTCACCAAAGCTCATCTAATTTGGGTCTTTATACATAATAAATGTAACTTCGAGAGAAAGGAATGAGTTGCAATTATACTTTGAAAACGCAACCGCAAGAAAAGGTCAAGGCCAAGAAGTTTATTTTGAGTTCTTGTTCAGTTCGTGATTGAATGAGTGTCCACGTCGATAAGTACCTTAATTTCAACGAGCTCTCAATTACTAACAACTTTTTTCAAAGAATCTAGAACGTCCCTCATCCAACTATATCAAATTGACTTTCCAAGCGTTTGCATCTTGGTCCGGATTGACCAGTCCAACACTTAACCCAAGGACTAATTCGCACAGTTAATGACCAAATTGAATGTCATGCACAAATTTTAGAACGCATGTGGTAAATATCCAATTTGTCAAATTTTTTTGTCCAATTTGTCAATTATGACAAAAAGGTTTTATGTACTAGTAGGCGCCATTTCCTCGCTCTTTTTGGGGTAAAACACACGGTCTTTTTTTGTTAATCGATCAAATTAGCTTCCTTCCAACTTTATTAAGCATGTATTAATAATTTACTGACACTATTTCTAAGCAAATGAATGATCCATGAGTTATTACTTTCTTATCTCAGTTTAATTCAAAGTTTTTCTTTATATTCTTTCTTGAACCCTGTCTTGAAGAGAGAAATTTATTTTCTCCTTCAAAAGAGTAAAAAACTAATACCCGAATGTGCATTCAGTTAGCAACTTAATTCAAGATTTTATTTGTTTGGTCCTTCCAATCTTTAGACATAAAAACTAGAAAAGATAAAGAAAATAAAAAAGAAAGAGAAAGAGAAAGAGAAAGATCAAGACTAAACGAGCTCTTAATTTCAAAGAATCTAGAACGTCCCTCGTGCAACTATATCAAATTGACTTTCCAAGCATTTACATCTTGGTCCGGATTGGCCAGTCCAACACCTAACATAAGGACCAAACCGTACAGTGTTGATCTCCAATTTTTGGTACCGAGGACCGACCCTGTTGAGCCTAAGATCAAGGACCGAATCGACCCTATGGCCGAGACCAACTGATTATCTTTCTATTTCATTTTTGTATTCCTTGTAATGACAGACATACTATTTCAAATTATATATCTATCGACAATGCAATATTGAGCAACCAAATTATGAATACCGGTACATATCAAACATAAATATAAGATAAGGCAACAACATAAATTTCATACTTGTTAAAAACAACAAACCATGAAAATGAAAACGCGAAATACAATTAAACCATAAAAAGTTCAAAATACGTAATATAAATCATGAATTATACAACTTCATATTTTGTCCATTCTTAAATGATCGCTTCAACTTCCGAACACCTGAAAATAAAACAAACAACACATATAACTAATACTTAACAAGCTATGTTTGTTCAGCTGAGCTGCGCTCATGAGGCAAGTGGCTAGTCGAGCAGCGAAGCGAGCGAGGCGAGAGGCCGAGGTGGGCGAGCAAGGCCAAGGCGAGCGACCAGAGCGAGGTGAGCAAAGAGGGTTTCTATTTTTTTTGGTCGAATTAGGCTGGGTTTCTTTCTACTTTCTAACTAACACGGCAAACTAAATTGCGTAAAAAAGAAGAGAACAAAGGAGGAGGTTGTAGGGTTTAGAGTAGACAAAAACATATAATATATAATAGCTAATAAATATATAATATATACAAGATTGGTTCGGGTTGGACTAACCCTAAACTTTCAAGACTGAGAAACAATTGCACAGTGAAGGGTCCGGTGGTCCTAGGAACAAGACCGACCCAATCCCTCTCGGAATCAGATCAAGACCGGTTGGGTTAGCCCAATCTAAGTATGCTTGCCCCTATTGTGCTCTCTCACCACTTCACTATATAAACAGCTTATGTGATCTAATTCCATGCGTGCATGATTTCCACTTTCCACACGGTATAATAAAGACATCTCACCAAAATGAGAAACCCATCTCCTTTCTCCTCCTTCTTCTTCCTTCTGCTTCTTTCTCACAAGGTCTGGTGTGATTCCCGTTGCAAGCCCATTGTAGCCAGCGATGTCGACCGAGTCCAGTTCGCCATGAACTTGGAGTTCTTGGAGGCCGAGTTCTTCTTGTTCGGCTCGCTCGGCCAAGGGCTCGATAGCATCGCCCCGTACTTGGCCCAGGGCGGTCCGCCGCCGGTCGGGGGGGCAAAGGCCAACCTCGAACCCATCGCCCGTCGCATTACCGAAGAGTTCGGGTATCAAGAAGTCGGCCATCTCAGGTAACACAACTAATTTTTGACATCAGTATGTATGATGATTGTGATGAACGTTGATCGATTTGTGCAGGGCTATCTACACGAGGGTTGGTGGAATCCAAAGGCCTCTGTTGAATTTAAGCGCCCAGAATTTCGAAACGATATTTGATCTAGCCGTGGGTCACAAACTGCAACCTCCATTCAATCCTTACAGAAATACTGTGAACTTTCTCTTAGCATCCTATCTTATCCCCTACGTGGGCCTCGTAGGTTATGTGGGAACCATCCCATTCCTTGAAAGCTACAATTCCAAAAGCGTAAGCCGATTACTCTTTGACTCTCTCTTCAAATTTCGACCAACTTTAATGAGTTGTGGACCCTAAATAACGTGTCTTCATATAGCTAAAAGCTATTGCAGACTGTAGTGTCAAGTCAAATAATTTACTTCTCATTTCGACGCATGTATACAGTTGGTCGCGTCGCTGTTGGGCGTGGAGTCGGGCCAGGACGCGGTGCTGAGGACGCTGCTGTACGAACGCGCGGAGGAGAAGGTCGAGCCTTACGACATGACCGTGGCCGAATTCACCAGCCGTCTGTCGATGCTCAGGAACGAGCTCGCCATGTGCGGGCTGAAGGACGAGGGCATCATGGTGCCCAAGGAGCTCGGGGCCGAGAACCGGACCACGAGCAACGTGTTGTCGGCGGACACGTACTCGCTGTCGTACTCGCGCACCCCGCCGGAGATACTGAGGATAGTCTATGGCAGCGGCAGCGAATACAAGCCCGGTGGGTTCTACCCGGATGGAGGAAACGGGCGTATAGCTCGGAGTTACTTGAAGAATGATTAGGGAGGATATAAGGAATGCTAATAAAGAATAATGTAACATTGTCTTTGCTATACTCATTACGTCAGACAATGGGAAATAATTACCTCATCATATTTTACCAAGTCTATTTATTTGTGATAATCTTGTCATTGTCACTTCTAATCTCGTGCTTATTTGCCTTTCAAAACGATGCGTCTATCCTATAAACGAAGAATTATTAGGTGAGTGTGTGTCTTCTATATCAAAATCAAAGTGGAATTTACATAGTCTTAAGGAACCCCATTTTAAATAGTCCAAATTCTCTTTGTGCATATAGAACATTCGCTGATAATATTGTTACGGAGTATTAATTTCGAACAGTTTCTTCTGGTACGCGAAGAATTAATTTCGCACTTCACTATTTCAAAAATCAAATATCTTAACAAGAGGGACTTTGGAGAGTTATCTCGATATGTACCGATGTTGTCGAAAGGATATTTAACCGATTTTGACCGAGATTTGCAATGCTATAGATGTTTGAAAATTCAAAGACAAGTGCACGACCGGCAACTGATCAATATTTTAAGTTCATAAACTCGCAGTACCAAAAAAAAATAAAAACATGACATTAGTTGGAAAATTTTTAGAATTATAATGATCAATGATGTGAAGACGAAGTATAAATTTAAGGAAAAATTTCAAATAAGGGCCCGAAATGCTCTCGTTTTCTAAAAAATGAGCCTGAAATGGATCTTGTTATAAATAAGGGTCTGAAGTAGCCATATCAATCTTAAAAAGGACTTGATCTCATCCACTGATCAAAAGCATTTTTATCATTTTAATTTTTTTAAAAATTTCTTTCTTTTTTCTATTCTTTTTTCCCGTTTCTTTTATTTTTTCTCTATCGCCAACCGGCAAGGGCCGGCGAGGGTTGCCTCGCCAAGGCCTTCCCAGGCCGTCGAGCCCTCGCCCAGTGACCGGTGAGGGTCGCCGAGAAAAAGAAATGGGAAAAAAGGGAAAAAAAATAAACGACGAAAATGACCTTAACTAGCCGGTAAAGTCTGGCCTTACCCACTTCAGATTTTTATTTAAAACAAAATCCACTTCATACATTTACTTGAAATTTTATCTAAATTTAATTTCATATTTGAAAATAATTCCCAATTTCCATCATTTTTTGCGCATGTGCGCCTCTTTATCTCGAGAAAATATTCAGTGGTTGGTGCTCACCACGTCACCAGCCCACATGGCATAAATGAGCTTAGTTGGCTCCACTCGGAGAGTGACACATGTCCTCTGACATGGACACGGAAAGAAAATAAAAAATTAAAATCCGAAGCTTTGTCCTTCTTTTCCCTAGCCGGTCAGTAGACTGCAGAGTGGGTGAAAAAGGACAGAACAATAAACGATAACCCGCTTAAAACTCCCTCTCTTTTTTTCAATTTTCAAGAGCTTCTACCTTTTATACCTTCTCTCTCGCCTTTTACGTTTCTAAGACTCTCTCCCTTCTTTTCTTTTCTTTTCTTTTCAAGAGCTTCTTCACCTGCTCTCTCTCCTCTTTTGCGTTTTCATTTTACCATTGAAAGATGCAGAGGTGCTCTTTCACGCTTCCGATCACTCAGTACTTCGAGTGCTCCAAACAAGCTGGCTTGGTCCGCTCTTACTGCTCTTCTTCTTCTTCCGGTGAGTGTGGTCGTCCGCAGCCACATTTCATTTCTGGTTTGTCTGAAGAGAGACATCAACGTCGTCATCGTCATCCTAGTGCTACTCCTCTTAGTGTTCCTCCTCGAAAGGTTGGGTTGCCTTCGATTTTGTTGTAATATTCAAACATAGGTCATGTTACGAAGAGATCAGTAACCTTACCAATGGTGTGCCAGTGTTGATTTTCTTTTGTCAATGTAAAAATTGTTATAACGGGATCCGTCTGTATAGCAGGTAAGAGTGAGGGAAAAGTGACTTGCGCATGTCAAGGAGCCAAGAAAGCAATCTAGAACGTGCAACGGTGACGTCACAGAACCGTCAAAGGAACAGCGCTACGAGTAACTGGCTCGCAACAAGATCAACAAGACTATCAATAAGAAACAAAAAGATCGATTCATTTTTTTTTCTCTGTTCTCACACACTATCTTCCCCTCTCTCTTCTTGGCTTCTTGTGCTGGGGTGTGTGGTATAGAAATGAGTTTCCATCATTTGACTCGTGTTTTCTGTCTCTTTATCACCAGGTTCTGTGTTTTTTTCTTTTTTTGGGTCTAAAGTTTCTTTTCTGTTGTGTTCGGTGCAACAACTAAGGAGAATAATAACAAAAGGAGTGTGACAGATTTTGGTGTTTGGGAACTGGTATTACACAAACGAGCTCCCGATCACTCAGTACTTAGAGTGTTTTCATTTTACATGGTAAACTACATTTACTTACTCGATTATCAATCGCACTTGACATACTAAAAAGGATTGAAATGAGGAGACACTTGACTTGGTGACTATGGTTAGACTATCAATTTGATAATGGGAGTTTACCCTTAATTGACTTTAAAAAATAAAAGACTTTGTCTGAAGACTTTATGTTCTTTAATGTAATATTTCTTTCGTTTCTTTACCTGGGGGGGATTGATTTTGCAAAAGAATGATCGCAGAAGCATTAACAATGGCAGATGTGTAATGGGAGCCTAATTTCGTCGCAAATACAACGGATACCACAAGGTCACAGAATGTCCCAAAGTTTTGTTTTTTCCCAGGAAAGCACTTCATTGGTTGTTTTCACAGCATCGGACTTCTAGCTATAGTGAATCGATTCCCGTGACATGATAGCTTATGATCGATGGTTGCTAGTTTACTTTTCGCGCAATGGCCTTCACGAAAGGTCATCAGCAGCTTGGAACGCGTTGGCATTTTTGGGATGCATCAAACATGAGAATTGACAACTTTGATATCGTGATGTTCGACATCTTACTCAATGTCGCGGGCATTGTGTCAACATCCAAAACTGCTATGAGAAATTATCGTTTTCTTTGGATGCAATAGTTGCACGAGTGGATGTATGAACGGACGGTGCGGTGCAAATATGGGCTTGTAACCAAAGTGAAGCTCATGAGTTGCTGCGTAAGTTGGAAGAGAAGGAATTGCTGTTCGAATGAAACTACCTGCAGCTACAATAACAAGTCGTCCTGCTTCGAAGTTTGATCCCATTCAAGTTCAGAAATCTAACTTGGGAAAGTTCTCCCTAGTTGAACCAAACCAGATCGACAATTTCAATTTGACCTGAAACCAATTCGAACTGTTCCATGCTCGAGTGTCGACAGTAGCAAAATGAAGTCTGCTCGTTAGGCTATTCAACTCGACTATTTCGATCTCTTTGTTTCCTCAATTACTGAATTTCAAATTAACCATCGCTATCATCCAATTGTAAAGCTCCTAAATGAGTACATTAAGAATGACCACATGACTGGAGTGTAGCCATCTTGGAATCCAGAAATGTACTTCTGCGTCCTCAATCTATACTCGATGTATATATCAATTCTCTCCACAACTTTTCGGCAAAAAACAATACCATAATAAAAGAAACTATAAGTGTGAACGTTCTTGAGTTATCACTAGCACTGGGGACGATGAGCTTAGCTGAGCAAGCTGGAACAGACATCTTGAGATGAATCCCAGCGTCTTCTTCTGAACCAATGTGAGAAGGAAGGTGTCAAGGCATTCATCAAAGCCACAGTCTTCGTAAATAGATCAACCGTATAAATTGGAGGCGATTAACTAGGGAGCGAGAGAGAGACACTGAACCCCTTGGTGGTGCGAAGGAGGTCGGGAAATTTTGTAGAGGAGGAACACCAAGAGGAGCAGCACTAGAATGACGACGACGACATTGATGTCTCTCTTCAGAAAAATCAGAAATGACATGTGGCTGCTGACGACCACAGTCCCCGGAAGAAGAAGAAGAGGAGCAGTAAGAGCGGACCAAGCCAGCTTGTTTGGAGCACTCGAAGTACTGAGTGATCGGAAGTGTGAACATCTTTCAAAGGTAAAATGAAAACGCAAAAGAGGAGAGAGAGCGGGTGAAGAAGCTCTTGAAAAGAAAAGAAGGGAGAGAGTTTTAGAAACGTAAAAGGAGAGAGAAGGTACGGCAGGTAGAAGCTCCTGAAAATAAAAAAGAAGAGAGGGAGTTTTAAGCGGGTTATCATTTATTATTCTGTCCTTCTTCACCCAGTCTGCAGTCTACTAGCCGGCTAGGGAAAAGGAGGAGAAAACTTTGGATTTTAATTTTTTTATTTTCTTTCCATGTCCATGTCAAAGGACATGTCACTCTCCGAGTGGAGCCAACTAAGCTCATATATGCCATGTGGGCCGGTGACGTGGTGAGCAGCAACCACCGAATATTGAGAAAATATTAGGTGGTCCGGGACCGCCAAGCCAGCGTGGTCCCGGACCACTCATGAAGCGCCACGTGGACCACGTGGCGCTTGTGGGGCCGGCTGGCCCGGATGGAAATTTTGCACAAAAAAAAAATATTCATTATTTCTCCTTAGCCCTGCACGCTAGCCCCTCTCTCTCTCTCTCTCTCCTCTGCACGCATTTAATTCTTCTCTCTCTTCTCCTCCTTCGTTTTCGCATCGAAGAGGAAAACCCACCGCTCTTTCCTCTCTGGCTTTCAAATTTATTTTGAATCTCTGCGATTTCGCTCTCAAATTTCGCTCGGCTTCCTCGTTGCTCCGGCGATCTTTCGCTCCGTGGCGTTGTTGCTGCTCCGGCGATCTTTCGCTCTCTGCTCAATGCCATACCGTCGAGAAAGGCGCCAGCCGCAAGCAAGGTTCCCCTCTTCTCCTCTTCCCCCGCGCCTGGATTCTTCGTCGATCCATTTTTTTGTGTGCCCGCGTTGAGCGGTTTTGATTGGTCTTTTTCTTTTACTTTTCTCTTTGGCGGTGGTGGGTTCGGTACAAAATGGGTGGGGAGAGGGAGTCCCCTTCTGGTTTTTTGCCACCATTGTTACTGCAAATGAAAACAAACCCAAGCATGATGCTCTGTTCTAAAGGGGCTGCTAGTTAATTTGCTTCGTGCTCTCGTTTGAAGGTTTGAAGGGATGATGGCTCCGAGCCAAGGGCAAGCGGCATTGCTGACATTCTGCTCCTGCATTAGCCTCACTAGTGTTGCCCTTGTTCTTGCAAACTGTTCTGGACATTGGTAACAACTGGTTTTGGATCATTGCATTAAGCCCCTTAGCGTAAGTGAAGATTGTTTTTCGTTGAAGAGTCCAGTTTCTAGTGTTCCTCATTTCTGAAGAACAAAAATCATCTGTGAATATGCTGAACCCTTGATATGATATTTTGCAGTGGAGCACACTATTGGATGCGGGCATCGTGGAAGGAGCAAATTAAGGTAAAGATGATGGTGGCGGAAGATGCCTGGTTGGAGCAAGCATTTTGATGGCCATGTTGGACGGGGTGAGTATTACTGCGAGATTTTTTTTTTCCAGCTGCATCTTTTGTGTTAATGACAAGCAAAGCATGAATGTTTCAATTTCTTACTACTGTTAGAGATAGGTTGAATTTTGTGGTGAAATTTGTTTTGCCGTTAAAGGCCTTAGCGTAACAATCTCAACATTTTGGTTGAACGTTTCATCACTTGTCTTGTGAGGGTGGTGTTCTTGTTTCTAATATGCGCCTTTTGTTGGTGCCAGCCACAATCAAGCATTGCCTTTGTCAGACAAGGATCATGAAGAGAGGGCAAAAAGATGTGAATTTGTGTCTGAGCTATTATGATCCACCGTCATCGACGATAATTTATGAGTAGGTGCAGAATGGCGGGTGATCTGGAGCTTACGTGACCGAGAATCCGGCCCTACAATCTTTATGGTTGGCCTGGGGTGAATTTGTTGTTTGCTGATGTATTAAAATAGGAAGCAAGGGAATAGGGTGTATAAGCTAAAATGTAATTCTTTCCTTGTCGACTTCGGTTTTGACCCGAGGAAACAATGTTGTGCATAGCTTCTGTGTGATGCTTGGACCTCTCAAAAGTAACGATATTGAAGAACTTTTCTTTATGTCTGTGTACCATGTATTATTCATAAACATATCAAAGCACTATCGAAAAAGCAAGGAATATTGAGTGAGAATCGCTAAATTTTACTGTAGTTAGGACTTGGAAGTAATAGGAATGGAGTGGGGGTAGGATTTTCACGGCACTAGGCATTGCATTCAGCGTTGTTATATTCATTTAAGTGGAAAAATATCATCACAATGCTAGTCTCGCTTGATATCTTCCTCTGTTTCCAATGACCAAAATAAGACCAAATCACAGTGCATAGGAACGAGAACATTCCATGCCACAATTAAACTTCTGACTAGGTTCGAGTCCGAATTTACTCTCTGAGAAGTGAGTTAGCCACTCCTATGCAATTGAATTAGATGCACAAGAGAGAGGAGAACCGCCTAGGAAGAAAAAGGAAGTAGTATTGAGATTGATTAACCCACCTCTTCCAAAAATAGGACCCCTTCAACCAAAACATAAATATCATCAATGTAGTCACAGAAAAATGGATCCTCTTGGGACCACGAACAGTTATCAGTATGGACAAAAACCCCCCTACTTCTCATCTAAATCCCCTCAAAATTAACCATGGACGTGCAAAAAATGGCAGCCCATGTTTATCAATTCGTAAAGACCTAAACTTAACCAACGCAGTGGTAGTCTTATGTACATTATGTTTTGGGTTACATCTCTGACGAAAACATCAAAACATGTTGAGCAAACTCCACTCATCAGACTTGTCTGTCCAGTTGCCATTTTGTCTATGTGGGAATAAAAGGATGGCAGAGGGATTGTGTAGACCTCGCTCCTCCTGTGCTCAAGGCCACAAGCAACCAATACAGTATGAGTGGAACACCTCGCTATTTCCTTAAACTCACCATGACCTGTATCAACGATCATATCGATAAGTTCACATGCAAGGCACCTTGCGCACCAAGGAAAAAACAAATGCAATAAGCACTTGAAAGAAAGCATCATAAAGAGAACAAGCACGGGATTCTAGAGCATAAAATGTATAATAATAGGACCAAAAATCTAGTAGAACATATATAACTCGCATACCTAAATCAATTTCTCTCAAAAGGCTTTTGACCATTGATTGCAATTCCTCTTTTGCTCTATGAAAATGGCTATCTTCACATCCTGCATAAGGAGATGCAGCCCCATCAGAACCGAGGCTGGATCGGCTGCTGGACTGATGATGCTGGTCAGGAACTATAGTTGAGCTCATCCCTACACGTTCGTCCAAAAGTGCCTGGCCAGAACTACTGGGAGTTCTTCTGGACCACCATCACAAGCACTATGCGAAATTTCACCACTGTCTACCACCTGCATCCACCCTCGATTATGACTCCAGAATGATGCGTAACATACAAAATGGAATACCAGGAAAGTGCAGTCAAGTATCGTAAGAAATCAGTATTCAAGAGTCCCCGGTTCATGAGGAGGCACCGGACAAGACTCTAAAAGGATAAAAAAAAAGCATATTGAACCACGGCGACAAAAAAACGTTAGTGAAAGATCATTAAGCGAACCTGATCACCACGCATTCGAAGCGACTCAAAATCGGACCTTGGTTCAAACATTCTGTCAAACACATGGTGCGCAGTGGACGTTCGAGCAATTAAAAGCTTCGAACGCACACCGAGACTTGAAAGAGACCATCAAAACACACTTGTCCAGCGACATACAGCCATAACAAGTTCAAATTCAATCAACTCAGAATTAAATTTTTCCATCTTAAAAGGATTGAAAAAAGGGTCAAAGAAATCAAAACTTCCAACATATCTCAGTGTTCGATTGGGCACATTGGCAGAGATGTAGAACCAAGCAAACAATTAGAGTAATGCAAGTTTCATCATCCGTACCTGAATGAAGTGAAAATGGGATCCCCAGATCTCGGCCGCCCCAGCAGATTAATGGGCGAAGGAAAGCTGCGCCGGAGCAGAGACGGAGCGAGCGAAAGAGCAGCGAGCGAGCGAGCGACGTACCGAGCGCCGGATTTTTCGAGAGCGAGCGTGCGCTGGAGCAGAGACGGAGCGAGGACGAGGGACCCAAACCTTGGCTTCGTCGGAGAGGGGGGAGCAACGAGGAAGCCGAGCGAAATTTGAGAGCGAAATCGCAGAGATTCAAAATAAATTTGAAAGAGAGGAAAGAGCGGTGGGTTTTCCTCTTCGATGCGAAAACGAAGGAGGAGAAGAGAGAGAAGAATTAAATGCGTGCAGAGGAGAGAGAGAGAGAGAGAGGGGCTAGCGTGCAGGGCTAAGGAGAAATAATGAATATTTTTTTTTTGTGCAAAATTTCCATCCGGGCCAGCCGGCCCCACAAGCGCCACGTGGTCCACGTGGCGCTTCATGAGTGGTCCGGGACCACGCTGGCTTGGCGGTCCCGGACCACCTAATATTTTCTCCCGAATATTTTCTCCTTTATCTCGGAGCTCCACCTAAGCCCCGCGACAGAGACAGAGAGAGAGATGCTTCATCTTGCCTCCCGCCTGATGAAGTCTCTTTCTCTCTCTACAGCTCCGGCCACCGCCGCGCTCCAAGAACTCGCCTTTGCTCACTCCCCCGGTCTCCCTTTTCTCTCCCTTTCCGTCTTGCTCGTGACTTTTGTCATCCCTCTGTCGTGTCTGACTTATGCTGCATCTGTCCGTGCAATACATATGTTGGGTGTTGGCATCGAGCTGAGTGAAATGCTTGCTTTACTTTGCGAAGTTCTCCGAGCTGTAGTGCTGCTGTCCCCTCATCTTGGTTTTGTTAGACAGGTGTTGCGAAGGTGGTGCTTAAAAAGGGGAAGACCCAGTTGTTCAAGGATGGCAGTCCCATGGTGTACAGCGGCGCCGTCGACCGGATAATCGGTCGGCCGCCGCCAAGAACCGGGGATGTCGTGATGGTGGCTGATGGGACAGAGAAACCGATTGGGTGGGGCTTGTACAATTCGGTTTCCATGTTCTGTGTTAGGCTGATGCAGCTAGAAGAGGAAGCAACAGGGTGTGGTTACGACTTAACTCTACCAATGAGTTTTTTTCATTTTGCATTGGCATCTCCCCAGGTTGGCAATTTCTTGTAAGTGTTTAATCCGTGTGACAGGAATCCGTCATGTGCATTGAACATGGAGAAGTTGCTCGAGAAAAGAATCGAGGCAGCCATAGAGCTGCGCAAGAGTTTGGGGTTGCCTTCTGTCAATACGAATGCATATCGTCTGATCAACAGCGAAGGGGATAGGTATAGTCTAGATGAATTTTTTTATGAAAAGAGTAGTTTGCCATTATCATTACTGTGATCAAATCGTGCGCTGAGAAATCGATTGGCAATAAATTGGTTAAGACGAAGAAACTGATCGGGTTCATGTGGAACATTGCCAGTCGGCACTATGGCCAGAGGGAGTTTTATGCTAGCATAATCTCACAGGAATTTATCGCAGTCTCCAAGTGGTATTTGTGATAACTCATATTAGGCATACAGATGCGCAGCTAGTTGAGCATTTGTAAACACTACCATTAAATATTGTGAATAAACTTAGTGTTCTTTAAATCATCAAATACCCTCCCCTTCTGTCCTAATTTTGACTTGGGAGCATCCCTTTTCACATTTATCCTAATTTTTACTTGGACATATACTTGTTACTGTGTTTGTGTTCCTTAATGGGAGAAGTATTGTCTGCATCTAGGTTGTCGGGTTTGATCGTCGATGTCTTTGGAGATTTAGCTGTGGTTGCATCATCTGCTGCTTGGGTTGAGAAGTACAGGACAGAAATAGAGGCTTGCATTTGTAAAATCGGCGGCATAAATCACATAAGCTGGAGACCATCCGTCGAAATGTTAAAAGAGGAAGGACTGGATGTATCCAAATTGCGGGAGATGCAGCCTTCTACTTGTCCTAAAAGAACCAAGGTACAGAACAGTTGACGGACTTTCTGTTTATGTATACTAAGATTTGCTTAAGTGAAACTTTTATGTACCTATATATCTTGTTATCGATGAGTTCTTAGAACCGCGTGCTATCTATCCTCTATGTCACTGGAGGATCTAGGACTATGCCTCTTCCAATAGGGTGCAATTTCTTAGAGACGCTTAAAAATTTGGGAGGCTGCCTAAAAACTTGTTGGGCCTGAAAATGCTCTTAGGTTGGAAGAAATGAAGAATGGACCTTTTCTTGCACCTTTTGTCATAGCTGTAGGAGGTGTGTCTTGGAAAGTGCTCTAGAGGAAGGATGACTAGTGGCCAAAAGTGACCTGCTGGGTATATTTCCTTGCGCACTTTAACAAGAAGTTCTCTTTGCGCATAGTCATCTGATGTTTTCCTTTTTGATGGCTCATCTCAGGTTCTTGAGAATGGGATTGCTTATGTCGTCTCACTTGATGGCCAGAAGACAGGATTTTATGCTGATCAACGTGAAAACCGTCAGTTTATATCCACAGTATGTGATGGTCAGAGAGTTCTCGACCTATGCTGCTACAGTGGTGGATTTTCCCTAAATGCAGTTAGGGGAGGTGCTGTTGATGTTTTGGGTATGGCTTAACTGTGCATTCTTTTACTCTTTGTTCCTGACAATGCCACCACTACCCTTAATATATTGCGTCTGTGTGAAAATTGCGTGCAATTTGCTTGCTGTCCTTGGAACAAATATAAGTGATCCAGAGTCATCAAGAATTGGGTTGTTCATATAGCTGTACGAGTGATGAAAATTCACTTTATTAACTAGCAACATTTGCATTATAGTTTACTACGTCCAAATGCTTCCACAATCTATCGGTTTGGACCTTTGTCAAAGTACGTCGGCTGGAACAATATAAACCATTGTATTCATTTTGTGAGAACTTTGCATTGAGTCATTTAGAGGCTTAGCTGGTGGGGGAGAGAGAACTAGTCTTGTCAGGGTCAAGACCGAGGGCACACTTTGCGGACTAGTAGTGGTAGCTATCAGAAGAAGTTATTGGTCTCACATCCTCCATTGCTAGCGCCCTTGGGCAAACATCTGATAGATCAAGTGGTAGGAGATCAACTCATGGTGCTACTAACAGATTCTTCATTAGTAAGGAATAACGTCTAGGATTGCTGCTCATAAGGGGGTGAATAGTCCGGTGGGAATGAAAAGCAGACTTCATTAAAGTCAGTCTTCGTAGGGAAGGTGGATCTAATAAAGCTCAACGGAAAGCTTAGGATCCATCCTCCAACCCCGACTTGGGGGTAGTCAATGCGATGTGAGATGTAGTACAGGGCTGGGGAGTCCCTTGTTCCTACCTAACAAAGGAGGACAAGTTGCTTGTCATCTGTGCTGAGTACTCAGGAGACGAATTATCACACCTGCAAGTAGTAGCAGCCTTTTACATCAGTGCATGCAATTTTCCCCTTGTTGAATCATAAATAAGATGTCAGTGTAGCTGAAGTAGTCTGTGTAACTCTTTCTTTTGTCAATCTTAATTGGTAATCTGAGTTTCGGCTTGGTTTTTAGCAAAGGACTTCATTTGGAATCCTTGTGGACAATAAAGAGAGGATATAGAGATTCCATTGAAGTTCTATCATGTTTCTTTCTAACTGTAAAGATGTGACTTTGACTTAAGTATTTCCAAGGTTAATTAAAATTACAATGAGGATACCCTGGGGCTGACAAACTTTTACGGCTTGTTTAATATTATCCATATCATTTCAGGTATTGATACGTCGTTGCCTGCTTTGGAGCTTGCTCAAGAAAATATTGCTCTTAATAGATTGGATCCAGCCAGGATATCTTTTTTAAAAGAAGACGCAACTGTATTCATGAAGAGTGCTTTATTAAGAAATGAGTCATGGGATATAGTCATACTCGACCCTCCAAAGTTAGCTCCAAAGAGGAAGGTACTGATTTACTGTTCATTTTTAAATGTGAAATAGTTCTAGTAATCGTAGATGTCAATTGCATGCTTTTTTCAGCTGGCAGAAGGAACTTACTCTTTCACTGAGGTAATGACTTGTCAGAAGAAAAATTGAGTTGAAGGACTCTGGTCAACCTGGTCCTGTTCCATCTTGGTTCTGTGTCTTCTTTACCAATAACTTTCACAAGCATTACACTACTCTTCCAGGTTGTACTTATTAATGGTGGTTTTATACTTTCAATGCTTCCGATATAATCATTCATCGACAAGTTACAGATGCCCATAAATCTGGGTTCTGCGAACTATTAATCGGTCGATTTTATCATTGCTGCCACGAAAATTCGCTTTGAGAGGTTTGCGAACTTTTGCTTGTGAAAAGTTATGTCAGCTTCCATTCTTTGGTATTGCGAGGTGAGTGACTCATTGCTTAGTGTCATTTTTCAGGCTCTAAAAAGTGCATTTGGCATGTATAGAAATTTGAACTCACTGGCAATGAGATTGACGAAGAAAGGTGGACTACTTATGACTTGTTCATGTTCTGGAGCTATGACACAGAGTGGGATGTTCATAAAGACACTTCAGGCAAGCATATCACCAGTTCATGTTGTATCTAATATGTAATTACGTCCCTGTTGATTGTTCAAAATTTGTGTGGTGAATGTGGTGATCTAAAGCATTGGTAAAACTGTAGACCGTTAGAGATGTAGCTAGTCATGATAGGACCTCACCCAGCAAGTGTAGAGCTCTTATGATAAAGGACACTACTCTAGTAAGTAGGGGTGATCGGTTCCAGGGTGGGTAGGTTATAGACCCGTGGAGGTCTATAACCTACCATGTTAGAACTGGTTCCAGTTTTTGAAACCCAGAACTTATCCTATTTGCCCTGAAATTGACCTTGGAACCTATCCTGTTTTTCCAGTCTGGTTCCAAGGTCTACCCGAGAACTTGTTTTTCTTGTTCCATTTGTAGGTTTTATTTTTTACAGCAAAATAATATGAGCAACAAAAGTGTTCAAAGTAAAAGATGAATGAGGGCGAGTGAGCAAAGGCCAGTCAGGAACGAGTGAGGGCGAGCCACAAGTGAGCGCAAGGAGGAAAGTGAGTCGCTAGCGAGCGAGAGAGTCTTTGAAGTTTTGAGTGATGTTCAAGAGAACAGAGAAAAAGAAACAGATAGAGAAAAAGATGCCAAGAGAAAAATTAGGGTTTTTAGGTTTTATGAAAGCAGTTCCAACTTTGGTCTGGTCGGTCCGGTTCCCAAGTGGTTCTTCACTCGGAACCAGGAACCGGACCAGGTTTTAGGGCTGTCCAATCTGGTTCCCAGGTAGAACCGGTCCAGTTGCACAGCCCTCTACTAGTAAGAGGCAGCCGTACTAGGTGTTTAGGATTGAAATAAAAACCCAACTAAACCAGAAGATAAGGAAGCTTTTAACCAGAATAATGTTGACTGAACCAAGTTGAACTGGAAAAATAGAGCCAGAGAAAATGGGTGCTTAGATGCACCCTTTTTTCTACAGTTTTGAGAAATCTTTTGGCTATCCTAATCGGGCATGAGATCAACTGCTTTTCTTGCTGATCGGGCCCTGGCAAGCTGCATTTTGCTTGCCAACATGTGATGTCAATGCATACACCACATGGTTCGGAAGCTTTTCCTGTTTGACAGCCTAACATTCTTGAAGTTTTTTATTAGATCACTGTCTAAGATGTTAAGTTTATGTTTTTGATTGGTTTCTATGAAGTTCAGGGCGCAGCATCAGCAGCTGGGAGAAGAGCCACAATTCTGAGACAGAACGGAGCAGGATGTGATCACCCTATTGACCTGTCCTACCCCGAAGGCAAATACCTTTCCAATATTTTAGTAAGAGTACTTTGAAAAATCATAAACGGCATTTGCACATTGTATTAGATATCTGGCGCAATCTCTCCCCATCCATCTTGCTGCAAAGTTTTGGACTCGCTGGCACTTTCCCATTCACCAATCCAACCCCACACTTAAAGATGGCCAAGGCACTCTTATGATGCAGCGCTTTCTTCCTGCTTGAGTACACAGCATATGATCCCCTTTAGCTTCTATATTTAACTAGTCCTTGCTCAAGAAATAGCTCTGGCAAGAAATGACAATATTCGACACTGAAAGCTATAGCCTAAGGTAAACAATCTCCTGAGCAGAGAGATTTGATGGCAATCGAGATTCTTTTACCCCCATAGTGGTCCAAACTGGTTGGCTACCGCAAGCTTCTTTCCGCCATTGAAATTGTCACATGTGCCGTGTCAACTGCTGTTGCTGTTTCGACGCAAGAACTGGTTGTCCCCTGTATTAGAATGGACTCCACACATTAGGAGGATATGGAATTTGAGTCCTATGACACCATATGGATTTGATAGCTTATACCGGGTGAAGATGTACATGTATCAAGAAAAAATAGCACGACTAAAGCTTGCTAAAATTTGCTATTTCAGAAGTGATGAATGAGAGATTGTCTTGATGTTGCATTTTACGGCTACTTGATTGACCGTGCAAAAGGGGTTGGCCCCTGCACTCGTAGAACCTAAAAAGAGGTCCATTTCTGAACTCTCCGCAAATGGTTCCACCCCCTTGAGACAAGAATCGAACCTCATCTCTGTCATGTCTAGAGGAGATTGTAGAAGTGGAGGGTGTCTGTCAAATTTTCACTTAAAGCGCAAAGATGTCCCATCTGTGATGCGAAACTGACCCTATTTTCTCTGCAAAATGTTTTCGATCTTCCGTCCAACCAAGTTTTCTTCAGTAAGCATAAAGCTCTGTTACTTGACATAGTTTGCCCAATGTCTTTCGGACTCACCATTACTAGAGCAGATCCTCCTTTATTATGTATTCTTGAATAGCCGTAGTCGTCCCACCTTTCACGATCCATCGATAATTTACTGCTCATTTCATGCTAATGGACATCTCGTCGATAGCACAGGTGTATTGACATTTGATGTTTTTTACAGGCCCAATAGTTTCTCGACTCCTAGTACCGTCAATGTGGAAAGACCCAGAACTTTCAGTAGAGATTCAGAACCTATCTAGAGGCAACGTTCTCGCGTCAGAATTTGTTGTAGCTAAATACGAAACGCCACCGATTTGCCTAAAGACCAAAACCCTTCATGAGATTGACTGCAATAGATACATGTACACCCTGATCAAACATGTACTTCCTTGTATCAAATAGGGCAATCTTTAAGAGAAAGAGATAGTTTCCTATGGCAAAGCAAACTTAATTAACTCCACTTTGACATCAGGATGATCCATTTTGACATCAACATGAGAGCATTGAGGTCCTACATTACTTCATGAATATTAAATTATTGATACATTGAGCATTTGGACTAACTGCATCACTAAGTCACATACTCTCAAGTTCCAACTCAATTTCAAGGTCTCCATGTTGGATCTCTAGGGCTGAAAAAAGAGGCCTTCACATTACCATCAAGCAATTCAATGGCAGCACTGGACTTTATGCACCTAGGAGTCTTGTACTGATTAATGGACCCTCCTTGGCTTATGAAAAAATCCATCAATAAATCGAACGTGCCGGGATTCACGACCCTAATTTCAAGTGGCCCAGCCGATCTGTCGTTGGAACGGCACCGCCTATAGACGTAGTCCAACTCTTCTTCCACGGCGATGCAACATTCCTCAAGCACGCGATCATCGAGCACCAGCTTGTTCGCCACTAAATTGTTGGGATGATGCTTGATTTCCCAGTAGAGGACATAGTGCCCCGGGACAGATGAAGTGTCCACGCGACTAGTGTATTCCACGAGGAGGGCATCGTGAGGCTCCAGCAGTTTCTTGGCCGCTGTGATGCTCTTGTGGAGATCTTCCTCGTTTGTCTTGTCGTTGTCGATGCTAAGGACGACATTCCTCCGGCAAATAAATCGGAACTGCGGGGCGCGGTTGTGGAAACCTGTCACCTGGAGCACATCCCCGATTCGATACCGATTGAGCCCTGAAATTGACATTTACAACACAGGCAAAAGCGCCATCATCATAATATTGAATCCTTGATGGAGTGATTTTTAGTGTTTTGGATAATTAATTACAGGAAACATGAGGAGAGGAATTAATTAAGATAAAAATTAATTGGAAAATTTTTATAGAAATACGAACAAGCCAAAAATTAACTTTCAAATCATTAGATTGATCAATTGTACCTTCATTGAGCTATGGAGTGAAAAAAAAAAAAATACATCCATATTGGTCCTCCTCCTTCCACTCACTTCAAGCAAACATTAAAAACCAGAGAAAGAAAAATAGCATTTCCTGGATTGAGATTAAAGAAAGAAGGGTATTGTTTTGAATCGTATAAATTTTTTTTTTCTATTAATTAAGGTGCAGTCTTTACTAATTTATTAAGAACCAATTTTATTCCGAATAAAAGGACTAAAGTATATTTCAAAATTATCTTCACTTTTCATTCATATATTAATTTGCATTTGTGAATTTTTAAAAAATTCACAAATTCATCCAAACTTTATGTCATTTGCCCTTCCCCTCTTTCTCTCGCCTTTGCTCTCTCCCACCCCGGCTCAATCCCGACCTACGCCTCGCCCTCACCGACCAAGGGTCGAGCTCCACACGAGCTCCGCCAACATCGAGCTTGACAAATCTGGGACCAACCCAATAGATTTGAGTCAAGCTGGATGCCAACGGAGCTCAATCGGATCTGGGTCAAGATCAACGCTAGCCTAGTTGACGATGGCTTGCGGCTTAGCCAGGGTGGCGGTTGGCAGCACTTGGAGGAGAAGGGCTGAGCAGTGGGTGGCTGGTCGGGTTTTGGGTAAATGTGTTTTTCATCACGGGGGATTTGAAATGGTGGGAGAGACAAAATTGGAAGGAAAACGGTAAATTTGTAATAGGACCATTCGATACAGACTTGGGATGCTAATTGTAGGTTTTCAAAACTCAAGATGGAAATTGATATGAAAATAAAATGTGAGAAAACATTGTGATATTTTCTCGGTGTACTTAACCTGTGTATATGATTTTTTTTAAAAAAAATTAAATGTCGTTCTATAAACCATTTTAAAGATAGCATTCGAATATAGACCAGCTTCTGAAACCAAAGGAAATTCTCTCTCGTTCCCACCTCAGCATTATCGACAAGGAACTCACATAAAACAAACGAATGTTGCGTTAATACGAGATTAGCGTGATTATCGAGATTATCTGTGAAGTAATGCTAGAGGATAAAGATGGATTCACAGAAGTGATTGATAACACTATATCCTTTCGCAAGACAAGAGTGCACTACTCTTCGACAAAAGGATAATGAGTCAGCATCAGGACGAAGCGATTCACATTCCTAGACGATAAACATGATAATGATCCCACAAACATGGGTCTAAAGTTAAAAGATTATGCTCACCAGCAAATGTAGTGACCACGAGCTCATAATAGCACCCGACCCGGACATTAACCAAGTCCACGAGCTTGCGACCGGACACTTCCTCGTCCTCGTCAATGTCCATCACCAGCGTCCCATTCCCTCCCAAGGGTATGAACTCGAAGTAGCCCATGTTGGGGAGGAGCGTAAACGCGACGTCGCGCGGATCGCACAGCGGCTGCAAGTTGACCCCAAAGTAGCACTCCGACGAGGCGTACATCGTGCACACCAACGGCAGCTTCCCCTTGCTGTAGTACTCGAGGGCCGGTATGTATTGCGCCATCGACCCCGTCACGACAGCCTCGATGTACTTCGCCCTAGGCCAAAGCCGGCACAATATCCCCTTCCACGATGGGCAGCCGCAAATTTCCTGAATCTCTGCTGCGAGGGTAGGGTTCGGTGACTGCAGTATGCTCAACATGGAGGATCGGCACTCGGGGTCAGTGATAAAGGGGTCTAGGCGGCCGGCGGCTATGTCGTCGCACATGCGGCCCCAGTTGCTCTCAAGGAACGATATGGCGCGAAGGAACGCGGATGCGAAGACCGCACCGAGGCGCAGGACCTGGTGCCGGTGGACAAGACCTGACAGGAGCTGGCAATACATGCTCTGGTCGCCGTCATCACACAGGATGGCTGCATATGGGCTCGTGAAGTCATGGTATGCGTCGGGGGCCTGGAACTTGAAGTGCTTGCTCTTGTAGTAGCTCGTGAGCACGGTCCGGGCGGGCAAGCCGCACGGGGTGGACCTCTCCGCCTTGACGAAGTAGAAGTACATGGCCTTGCCCTCGTCGAGCCCCGTGAGATACCTAACATTTGAATTCCCATGTCATGTATGCAAGGCAAAAATATAAAGCATACTTACACATGCTCGACAACTATGGTAATTAGGGTCGTTATTCCTATACTTCAACTTGAAGAATGCAAAAAGAGGAGGGAAAAGGAAAATCAAATTAATTAACTGGCTCATAATGGGCATGATGAGATTATAAAGAAAGGTTCTTCGGTCAATGTCCTCCTCAATTGATGGCATCATCTTGGGCTCTCCAGCAGAAGTCCCTGAGCTACGAATTACACAAGGACATTCTTTTAATCATTGATTAGCTCAAAAAAAATTTAAATCAGAGAAAAATAAGTAACTAGAGCTGAGACAAATAGTAGAGAGAGACCTGCATAACATTTCAGTGATGGGTTTTCCTGTAATTAGAGAGGAACCTTCACCATGAGCAATTCTTGTAATGTAAGGTTGAATGGCCCTGTAAGTGATCACAGGGACCGACTTCTTGAAATCACAAGTGTCCAGTGCTGACCCTCTCAAGTACTTGCTCAAGTACTCAGTTTTCTGGTTTTGCAATAAGATCTCCTTCAGAATGTTTTGCTGGACAATGTCAGCCTCAGATGTGAGCCTCTCTATCTCTTTCAGTGCAGCCTCTCCTTTGTATTCCAATTTCTTGCCATCCATTTTCTTGCGTAACAGAGAAGATATGGAGAGCAAAACAAGTGGTGATATGTAGAGGAGAAGACCCAATGAGGTAGATCACTCTATATGAATAGTTGTGGAGAGCAGCACTATATATAGTGAGAAAAAGATTCATATACATTCGAATCATACTAGATTATACAGAAACTGATCCATGAAGTCGGCATATAAAATGAATATGACAGGCTCTCGCTGGGTATTGAATACGACCCGCATATTCAAATGCTCACTCATGATCTCTCGCGTTGCTTAGTACGTTAATCTTGTGGATAATTTTTAGTATGCTCATTAGTCTTTTCATTATGAATCTTGGGTTGGATTTTCGTGTCTCTTTGTTTGTCACCTCCTGCACATCACAGTCACCAAGTTGGAGCAATATATTGTTGCTGATATCACTTCCACACTGGGAAGCCTAGAGGATAAAACTGGTCGGAAACACACATGCTTCATGCAACTAGAGATTGCTAAAATTTGCTTTGGATGCAATAATTTTGTCGAATATCAGATCAAATCTATCGTGTGGAGGAGGAATCTACAAAAGAAAATTTTCTCTAAAAATGAGTATGTATGTTTGTTAAAACTAAGGGTAATGCTAAAATACCAATCGTATGTACAAGATCTTAGGTGGTAGAATATCATTCTCGGTCTCAACATTAACAAAATATATTCCATGTACTTTCTTTCCCTGGAATATGATATAAACGATCCATGAACTTTAACCTAATGTACAATGTGGTCCATAAATTTTTTATCTATTCAATGTAGTCCATGTCCCTAGACTATACGAAAATGTTCAATGTGATTCCTGAACTTTTAATTTATTTAATATGGTCCATGAACTTTTTGTACATATTCAAACTAGTCCATAAACTATATGAAAATGTTCAATTTCGCCATTCCATTAATTTAAGTTTAGGGACAACATTGAACATTTTTGTATAGTTTAGGGACTAATTTAAACATATACCAAAAGTTCAATAACCATATTGAACAAATTAAAAGTCCATGGATCATATTGCACATTGAGCCAAAAGTTCATGGACTATTTGTGTCATTATCCCTTCTTTCCCTTAAACTTTTGCTTTATGCAGTTTCTTGTACTGAGATACATAACATAAGTGGAATGGCCCCGTTTGATTCAGCATTTGGAATGCTTATTTGAGGTCTAAAGGGCCCGTTTGGTTCAACTTTGAAAATGCTACTTGGGGGAATGCAAATACCTTTGGGTGAAAGCCCATTAGGGAAATGCAAATGGTGTTTGGTAAAAATATTTTGTAAAGCTACTTTGGCCAAAATATAGTGTTTGGTGAATTATTTTTGCAAATGGACTTTGGGAATAAAAAACCTAACTTACCCTTCGCCGGAGCCGGTGCCGGCCGGCCGCCGCCGGCCGTCGCCTGAGGTCGGGCGACGACCGGCAGGCCAGATCTGGGGCCGACGGCTATCGCCCAAGGCCGGGTAACCCTCGGCGAGGGTCGCGGGACCCAAGCGGCCGCCCGAGTCGCGCGACCGAGGCGGCCGGGCGCCCGGGTCGCGCAACCGAGGCGGCCGGGCGCCCGGGTCGCGCGACCTCGCGCGCGACCGCCTGGGTCCCGTGACCTCGCCGAGGGTCGCCTGCCTCGGCGACGGCCGCCGGCCTCTTGCCGCCCGAGCTAGGCCGGCGGCCAGCCTCCTCGCCGGCCACCTCACGAAGAAGAAGATGAATAGTACACACGAGGGGCAAAATCGGAATAAGCCAAAATAACTAAGAGTAGTTTGGGAATAAAAAATTTGGGCTTTCAGCATTCCAAATGCTAGCATTTGGCAATTGCTGATCCAAAAGCTGAACCAAACGGGCCCAAAGTCCCTTGGCCAAATGCAAATGGTGTTTGGCAACTTTTTTTATTCACTTTGAGGAGATGCAATTGCATTTGAAATGCTCTCTAAGGGACTTTTGGCCAATGCAAGAGTGGAGGTGCTTTGGAAAGTCGCATTTTCGAAATGCAACTTGCACTATTCATCACAACTGTTCATCTTCCCCAGAGGCAGGTCCGGCGACCGCTGCCTGAGGGCTAGCCCGACCCCGGCGACCACCGCCTAGGGGTTGCCAGACCTCGGCCGTCGCCTGGGTCGCACGACCCAAGTAACACTTGGATTGGGTCGCGTGACCCAGGCAACGCCCGAGGTTCGGCAACCCCAGGCAGCGGTTGCCGGGGTCGCGCGACCCCAGACGGCAGTGGCCGGCAACTGGATCTGGCCGTCAGCAGTTAGCCGGCGACCAGATCTGGCCGGTGGCGGTGGCTGGATGTTAAGCTCCACCAGAGCTTTTTTTTTTTAAAAAAAATATTAGCAAAAGTCCTTTAGCCCAAGTTGATTTTAAAAAAACACTTACCAAACACTATCTGCATTTCGGAAAACTCCTTTAGCCTAAAGGTATTTACATTCCCCCAAATGCATTCCCCCAAAGTCGAACCAAACGGGCCCTAAGTACCTCTCTTCTTGATTTGTAATTGAAGCATATTTTAAATTTAAACTGAAAGTACAGAGAAACCCTAAATCCTTCATTTCAATGTCAAATTTAAAACCTAGTTCGAGGTATCAAGAGGTCATTCAAGCGACAGCATTTTGCATGGAGGTATATTAGTAAGGAACCATATTAGCGGAAGATGATTGGTTGGCAAAGTAATGGTGACGCTTTCTTGTCTAAATTTTATCCATTAATTGTAATGTATTATGTCACTTTATAAGGTAATTTTATGAATTAATTTATTTATTCCTAGGATTACTTTTGATCAAAAAAGGGTGGTAGTGGAGAAAGAGAAATGATTTTGGCCTTTGGATCGGATTCAAGATGCTGGATGGAACTGCAATGACATACATTTAAGCAACAAAAGAATAAAAACCGTACCTTATCCGGAATGAGATCAGGCACATGAAACTAGAATCAAATCAAATCTTTAACACATCTTTCAAGGGAAGGTTGGTGGTCGATCGCCGCATCCATTTGCAATCCTTCTTTTTTACTTTGCTTTTTCTCTCAGATTCGTGATGATGCATGCATGCTTTGTCCTCTTTTCTTCCTTTCCTTTTCTCTCCTTTGGTGACATAACCTTACACTCTATGGACAAGCACTAAAATCGTACCTGAGAATGTACAATTTCCCATTCTATACCACAAACGACTCATCATTGTATCGTGTTCGAGAATCGAGTATGTGTCACGAGGACAATGGCCAACATAGACGAGTACGAGCATCTTCTCAACGCCATGTATGTTTGATTTTGCCCCAGACAACACCTTTACATACATTTTAGTCCTCCTACATTGTTAGGGAAACCCTTTTCTTTCCCCGCCCTCTAAATATACCCAAAAATCTTGATTTACTAACGTAAGTACCGATAACATGTAGATACTCCATTACTCGGGGCACTTATATCAACCGACGTACAAAGTTGCTCTTGTTAACGTTCCATGCACACGTCCTCATCCAAAACATATTCCATTAAGCATACACATTTCTATATCCTAGCTTCATCCGTCTCGAGGTCACTTGCTCGAGAAACAAAACAAGAATCCCACGACAAAATGCAATGGCATGACTTCACCTTTGCGGGGGCCTAAAGTGAATCTACTTGTTGATTGCAAGGAAGTTTCTGGGTTAGGATAATCTGGCTCTCTCGGCACATAAGTCAAAACCCTAGCTCACCTTTCAGACATGTCCTGCATGCTCATTATTTCCACGCGGGACCATGGTAGCAAGACAAACCAAATAGTGCTTCGATTGTCTTTTTCCCATTCTTGGGAAGCTTTGGGGTAATGGGAGACAAAAGGAGAGAGCTTTTTTCCTGGCAGGCCTTGGATTTTCAGAGGGCAAAAGAAAGTTGGGGGAGCAGAGAGAGAGAGAGAGAGAGTGTGGAAAAGAATGCTCGAGTCATGATATGTTTTTTACCCAGAGAGAGAGAGAGAGAGAGAGAGTGTGTGGAAAAGAATGCTCGAGTCATGAGGTGTTTTTTACCCACACGAAATGTCGTATTTCACCACATGCTTAAACCATGCTCATAGGCCGTACAATGATCATGTCCGGACCGGAACGTACTTTGGAAAAGGGCTTCTATTCCATCATGCTTATCCACTATTTGGGTTTTCCTCGGCGTCGAAATAATGTTATTAAGTAGACAAAAATATGGTTAAGACAGTTATTATAAGACTCATTGGTCGTGCTTTGATAATGCAGGCTCCGTTATTTAATATATCTAATTTTTTTTAGATGATTGCTTTAAACCGAAATATTTTGAAAGAAAGATAATATAAGGAAGAAATCTAGTGAGAGAGAAAGGGCCAAGGAGTGTTGGGCATGTCCTTGAAGAGGGTTCGACAACCCCTTCCAAGTATAGGTGGTGTCCAACGACTTGCCATGCTCAGCTAAGGGCATCGTCGCATGTCGCATGTCGCATGCCGCCCTTTTCAATAGCCTTCCCCCACCCCCAATGTGCTCCTTTGGAGATGCATATAGCAAGGATCAACCTTGCCATGAGCTATGCTTTGTGCCTTAAGCCCTATTTGCGTGTGTCTCTCCCGTTAGGCTAGTCGAAACTCGCCAACTACATAATTCATTATCAATGAAAACGGATGTAGCCTCATCATCGCAAACCCACCTCCACCCCTCCCCCCCCCCAACCTCCCCCTCTCTCTCTCTCTCTAATGAGAGATCGCGACTGCAGGACAAGGTTGCACAACCTTTGTGACCTCAAATCTAGAGGTTGCATATCGAATTTAAGGTTGCGTGACCCTGAATCACAATTGCAACCACTGCCCAGGATTAGAGAGAGAGTGAGCCCGTGATGGAGGATAGTGGCCAGGTCGGGGGGCCAACATTAACGATAAAGACAACAACAATGGTGACGGGCAAAGGTGGGTGACAACTGTTGTGGGCGTGATATCATCATATGCGGATCAAGAAAGAAGTGTGAGAAAAAAAAAAGACAAAAAGAAAAGGAAAATAAAAAGGAAAAATTTTATCATGTAAGTCCGCTGTACATGTTTGAAAAGTCCACATACTTTAATTGATGAAAAAAATTTCGGGTGCTCGATTGCATGATGAGTGATCGTACAC